TTCCACATCCGCGGAAATACTCCCTGAATAAATTCATTAAAATAGTTCGTGAATAAGGGTTTCCTTTCCCTTTAAGTGCAACATTCGGTATTTGGTCCCGTCCAGGGGACCATCGCCCTCTCCGTGCTTCATTATCTTATCTATCTACTTTAGCCATCAGAGTTTTGTACGCATCTGATCCGCGTCTGTATTCACCAGCTATTTCATAAACCATCCGTTCTTATCTTTTTATGACTTTTTTCATCGTTACTTTATAGGTGTTATGAATTAAATTGAGAACCTTGAATCTTATTAATACTTCTCCCTGCCGAATTTCTAATCAACAAATATGTATGTAATTCTATATTTACCTTCCATTTTTAGGGTCACAATGGCACAGTGCTGTCTATTTCCTGGTCAGCCACGGACAAGTATCTCATATCTGGGGGCGCAGAGGGTGCAATCTATCAGTGGGATGTCGAAACTGGTTCACGAGTACAGGAGATCGTACAAAAAGGCACCGAGTACCGTTCCGTTTGCTGCACATTCTGCGAGCCCCTCTCCATCTATGCTGCAACAAACCTTGGTGTATTACGTGAATTTCAAAATTCAGAAATCGTGCGTGAAATTGTCGTACCCTCCAAAGTGCGCACGCCACTGACAGATATGTGCTTGGCCCGTTCGGATCTCATTATGTTTGTGGGCAATGAAGATGGTGATCTATTTAATATTCAGTTACCATTCATGGATGCCGGTGGTGCATCGTGCACGCTATTTCGCTTCTTTACCAGCCAAATTAACAAACTCTTCTTCTCGTACGATGGCACGTTGCTGTTGACAGTTTCAATGAATGGCACTTTAGCCATATGGGCAATGGATAATATTGAGGGCAAGGTGGCATCAATGGATGCGGATTTGATGCGTAGCCAAGAGGTGCTTATACCGCGTAGCATACTGCACGATAAGAATGAACAGATAGCCAATTTGGAAGTGCGTTTGCGGCAGCAAGCCGAAGAATTTCAATATCAGCTGAACCAGAATGAGATATTCGATGGTCAACAACTGGCCGAGGTGCATCGTAGCTACCGTCAGGCACTCGAGGAGCTTAAGAACAAGAATAATGAGACTGAGCAAAGACACACCGAGGAGATGAATCAGGTAAATTTACAAATAAATGATTTACGTGATGAACATAAGAAGCAGCTGGACAACTTGGCCAATCAGTATTCGGAGCGCATGTTGGTCGAATACCAAAAGTTTAGCAATTTGCGTGAAAGCATGCTAACGCTGCGCGAGAGTTACGAGAATCGATTGAAAACCTCGGCTGGCATACTGCAGGATACCGTGGAGGGACTGGAAACGGACTACAAACGGCAGCTGGACGAACGCAAAGAATTGATACGCGAACTTATGAAGGAGATGCAAGACAAGAAGATCGAGTTCTTTAAGTATTGTCGCGAAGTGGAGGAGGACAATGATCGCAACATGGTGGACATGCAATTGCAGTACGAGAATAAATTGAATAACGAACAGAACTCAACACAATTGTGGCGCGGCAAATCTGGCGTTTTGGAAAAGAGATACCAAACGCTGAGCAAAGAAATCGAGAAGCTACTCGAGGAGGTGGAAACATTGAAGGAAGAGCACAATAAATCACAAAAGAATATTGGACGTTTAACACGCTCCATCGAAGACTTGCTGAAAGACATCTCAGACCGCGATTATGCCATCAACGCCAAGGAGAAACGCATACAGGAGCTATTGCACAAGAATCAGGAGTTGGACAAATATAAGCAAGTGCTGTCGCACAAAATCGCCGAGCTGAAGGCGCAAATAGAGCCGCGTGAATTTCAAATCAACGACAAGCGAAAGCATATACTCGAAATGGAGAATGAGCTGCAGGGTTTGAATCAGAACAATATACAATTGGAGTTGCAACTCAAGGAGCTGAAGGACAAATACCTCAGCAATGTGGCAGAGTTGAAGGTGGAACGGCACCGCTCGCGCGCCGCACGAGAATGTATCACAAGCATTTGCAGCGAAATCTATCATGTCGCAGCGCACGTAGATTCGCCACAGCGACTTGTGGTGAAGGTGAAAGAATTATTTCGACGTCATGCCAGCGATGATGAGCTCAAACGCCACATTTCATTGGATGCCGAAGTGCGCGATGAATTCCAGCGGCAACGCGCACAAATTGAGCGCGTTTTGAAGATTAACAGAAATCGACGACCTATGACGGATGAAGTGAAGAGATATCAGAAACTTTTCAAAGAGAATGTGGTACTGCTCGATGAAGTGGATCGATTGCGTGAGGAGAATGTGCACTTACGCAATCGTTTGAAGAAGGATTTGGCAAAGCATAAACTATCAGGCAAATCTTAGTCAACAGACTATTTTTGAAATGCGATCATTTTAGATTGATATACAAAACCAATACGAGAGTTAAAATAATAGTTCCATTTTTTCTGCAAAAAAAAAAAAATATTTTTTTGATACTATTAAAAATCAAAATTTTGAAAAATTTTGTAGTAAAAAATTCGAATTATATTTATTACCATTGTCAAGTATTTGTAAGCTGTATTGTATAATTTTCGAAACTGCATTTTGTAATCAGCCCATTGACCGACTTACCGGACTTCCCAGATAAATTGATAGCTCATCGTAAAAGCTTTATACAGTCTTACTGGTTTTCCAATTTCGGGGAACTAGCCTACGATCACTCCAAAGACTAAAATCGTCCAATATGTGGTCACAAGTATCAGAATCGGGCTCGCCAAAATTGTCCTCTGTCGAATAAAATACATCGATGTCATTAATCAAATTCAGTCGACGCATCGAATTAAAAATATCGATGTTTCCGATGCATTGTTAATCGATCGCGTATCCCTGTATTCAACTCGAGTTATAAAACCCTATCCCCCCTGGCTAAAACTTCTAAAATCGTTTAAGTACAAATTTCGACCCATGTTAAGATTTCTAATAATAATAATAGTTTGGATCTTACACACATATTAGTGTTTGGCCGAGCTTCTTCTCTTTGCGCCGTGCGCGTTGATGTTGGCACACAAAGAGGTTGGACCCACTGCTTCACGCCAACTCCGAACGGCGATTGTATTCTACAACGCTTTTCTCAACTTGCAGTGTTGTATGTCCAGACCATCATTTATCGTCGATGTTTTTGCAAAACCGCCCATCGGCCAGTTGCAAAACCGCCTAAATCGCCGTTTTGGCAAAAATGAGATTTGGTAACCCTGAACTCCAGGCATCTAGATTTATGCATAAAAATCGTTAAATCGTTATTAAAACAACAGATTCGTAAGATTTTGTGGAAGCACGCTACACCACAGCAGCATCCTTAATTAGAGAGTATGTAATCCCAACATAGAGATCAATACGTTTTGAACATAGAAATTCTGTTGCGCTTCTTCCCCAACAACCCGGCGCTGCTTGAATTGGGTTTCGGCCTTTAGTGAAGTTTTCTATTGTGAATGGTTGCTTTCTCTCCACAATGAAGAAGCATCTCTCAATCAGCTGATTACTTGTTCTGTTTTTATTTATTGTTTTTGCAACTGCAGCGTAGAAAAAAATTGTTTACTCACGGTCGTAGGTCTGCAATGTTGCCGGGAGTAGGAATTTTCGGAACTGGTGAAATCACCAAGGTGCTTGTGCCATTACTGCGAGAAAAAGGCTTCGATATAAAAGCCATATGGGGGCCATTGAAGGAGGCAGAAGCAGTGGCACAGTCGCAGAAAATTGCATTTTTCACAAACAAAATCGATGATGTGCTACTTCGGAAAGACGTCGACTTGGTATTCATTGTGTGCCAACCTTTTCAGCATGCAGAGATATCTAAAAAGGCATTAGGCATTGGCAAACATGTTGTTTGTGATCGACCAATGGGGCTACATCAAGCAGATGCTTTGAAAATGGTGCACGCTTCACAGTACTATCCGCGACTTATAACTTTGGTTAATTATTCGCTCCGTTTTCTTCCTGCCTTCACACACATGAAACGATGTTTACAGGAGGAACTTATTGGACCGATGAATGAAATATCGCTTGTCGATATACGCGTACAACTAGGTACGCTGTTTCCCGAGAAGTTCGATTGGATGTGCGATGCCGCTATGGGTGGCGGAGCATTGAATTTGGTTGGTAGTCATGTGATCGATTTGGTCAGTTATCTGTTACAACAACATGCAGTTCGCGTACACGGAGTAGTGCGTTCATATACGAAGACAACTGCGGCAGTAAATGGCATACGACAAATTTCAGCTCCAGATTTTTGTACATTTCAAATGGAATTAGCAGGTGGAGGCGCACTGGTCACTGTGGCTCTACACAGTCATACAGTGCCTGCCAAAGCATTTTCACAAGAAGTGCTAATTTGTAGTAGCAAAGGTCATTTGGCTGTACGCGGAGGAGATTTATTTGTATTCAAACACAAAGCAGATCCACCACAGTTGAAAGAAGAAGCTGTCTACGTTGATGTTCAGGATTTGCACTTTGCCACTTCAGAATCTATGTTGCCACGACCTTACATAAAGGGTTTATGCAAGATGGTGGGTGCATTGAAGGAAGCGTTTGCTGATAAAGATGCTTCGTGGGTAAAGGAACCTGTGCAAGCTGCCGCGACATTCGAGGATGGGCTATATGTTCAGGCGGTACTAGATGCTATTCGTAAATCAAGTGAAACCAAATCTTGGCAACGAGTTAGAATCACACCGGAGACACCTTCGAACCACGAACAGATAATGACTTTTGCACGCATGTCAACTATGTGAAATCACCAAAATTCGCCAAATTACTAAACCCGTGAGCTCTTTTACATATTACTAGTCGAGGAGAATTAGGTTTTCCCGGTAGTTTCTAATGCATTTCACATTCTTATGATAATATACAAAGTGGTTGGCCTGTTAACTTAAATTCTCTTTGTATTACATCCTAAGCATGGGAATAATTTACTTACATCCATACATATTTCCACACCTCTCGAAACGTAACAAAAAAAAAAGTCGTAAATTTCTGCATTATAAATTTCTTTATAAAATCATTTTATGCATATTTAAACTAAGTGACTTAGTATTAGTTGAAGAAATAAAAGGAAAACAAAAACAAATACATATGTATAGACTGTGTACTGATATATGGACACAACTTAGGTCTCAGTTATTTACTTGTCAATGTTACATTCACGTCAGTTATTTACATTCACGCTTCTACAAGCACTTTCTTTGAGTGATCTGATGCCGTTTTTTGCTTTTTAGTCGGCACATCAGCAGTTTCAGTAGCAAAGGCAGAGGCATCTTCCTCCGCAGGTGCAGCTGGCTCGGGCAAATCTTCTGTTGGCACCTCCGGTAATTTACTAACCTCCTCTTCTGCAGCAAGTGCATCCAATTCAGCCAAAACATTTTCTTCGTCTTCTGCACTAAGTGCTCCGGAGAGTATAGCATCAATTTCTTGTTGTTTTTCTACACCCTCTCTTGTTTCATCCATGATCTTTTCTATTTCATTGATATCCATCAAATCATGTACTTTCTTAAGTGCGGCATTACCCTGTTTAAGGCCTTCTATAACTTGTAACTCCACCTGAGCGAATTCCAAATCGGCAGTCATTTTTTCCAAGTTTTCCAGTTGTTTATCTGCATTGCTAAGCTGAGTTTCTTGGAATTTTTTCTTTCGCAGCAGAAGCTTGGCACGACTGAAAATTAAAAAAGTTGCTGATGTAGATTTTTTATTTCTAGCCATTGTACTTACTCTCGACGGCCTGTTTGTAAACATTTCCTAGCCAACTCTCGGTCTTTCTCAAGTTGTAATTCGATGCGCTTCTGATATTGCTTCAGTTTATCCCGCTGTTGCTTCAGTCGCTGAAAAAGGAAGACAACAAAGGAAACTCATGCACAGACAAAACGGAGAAGGATTTACACCTCATCAAAATCCATGTGACTCACCAGCACCGCCTTATCATGTTCGGTTACACGGCTTTGCTTTTTACTTTTGGAAAATAGTGAACCCATTGCAGAAAATAAATATCTATTTAGTCTGATTGAGTTGTTTGGGCAGTAGCTCCAGTTTACCATACGTCGGGTAAATTCTTTCCCGTGCTAGTAGTTCGTAAACAATTATTTTCAATTGATTTCCTATTTTTACTTTTATAAAATATTCTAATGAAAAAGTCAAAACAAATAAAATTCTGCTTCTTTTGACCAGAGACATCATTCGCAATCGCTTGAGGAGCTGCCAGATGTTCAATCGATTGGAATGTTCTGATTGAACAAATAGCGTAAATTTACGTTATCGATCGAATTACGAAAGTTACGAATCATGAAATCTAGTTTACACAACAATTTAACAACTAATACATATTCTCAGTCGTCTTGTCTCAAATTGTCTTATGTAAATGCAGGGTTAGCTATAGGATCAAATAAATATTTACACTGTTTTAATTTTCCATATATGTTGTATTTGGCTACTGAGCCACAGATTTTCTTAAATTCGGGTCGTTTCGTGGAGGTTATCAAAGTAAGCCCATCTACAAGCACGTAGGAAACTAGCACGATTGAGAGAATACAAAGGTTGCGCCGATCTCGGACCGCTATTCCTCTCTTAACGAATTTGACAGAATCGTTGTTTGCATGACGTCACACTGGTGCAACTTGTTTACGTTTTCCTTGCAACATTTTTTCTTCTTCTTCCATTCTTGCTCACGTTTTGGCATTTCTCTCTCGCAATTGCACCAGTGTGACGTCACACAAAAGTTATTCTCAAAAATCCTCTCTGATCGGCGCAATCTTGTATTCTATCATTCTTGGGAAACTAGGGTTGTCAGTGGCAAAAATATATCGATGTTTTCCTTTGAGGCGATGCATCCCAATATACATCGATATTTTTCGATGGATCGAAGAGCATTCATCGACGCATCGATTTGCATAGAATTTTTCAAAAAATGTTTCACAACAAAATATGTTATTAGCAAAATTGTAGAAAATTTTAAATAAATTACTGCAACTGAGCGAATTATGTTTCTAACGGAACTTTTGGGAGCCATTTCAATTTTTTGGTCAAAGTCACTTCTACTTTTTGTTCAATTGAAAAACTGGAATGACGGTTTAATGTACTAGAGATGTCAGTTTTCAAAAAAAATTGAGGCATCGATACATCGACTATTTATACATCGAGTGGAAAATTTTCGATGCATCGAAGCAAAACATCAATATTTTCGATACATCGATGTTTTTCTGACATCCCTATAAGAAACCCTACGAAAAATTGTTGTTGCAACAGAGAACGTAAATAAATATACGTTCCCTGGTTGCAACGTGCGAGCTCATCTGGTGGGAATCGTTGCCCAAAAAGATTCAGTTTGTTATCAGTGATAGTGATAATAGAAAATACTACTTGTGCAAGTAATAGTGTGGAATAACGCATAAGCATATCAACGTATATATGTTGTAGGTCTATGATAAAGTAAACTTACGGGGCAGACCTTGGTGGACTTCGCGCTTTGTCTTCTGTTTCTGTATCCGGTTTTTAGTTTTTGCGCAATGTTGTCGAGATTTTCCCCTTTCAATGCCAGACGTCTACAAAACAGTGCTTTACGATATATAAGTAGAATGGTACATATTAATAACTAGTCAGCTGTACTTAGTTTAACTTATTTATACTAATTCTTTACAGGCATCATCATCGGTCAAAGTGCAAGTACGTCAAGGTGTTGTGGTTGGACGAGATGGGCTTCTGCCAAACGGAGAACCATATCATAGCTTTCAAGGTGTACCCTATGCAGTGCCTCCGCTTGGTGAATTGCGTTTTAGAGTAAGTGGCTAATATTTACTTAAATATATTTAAACAAAATTTATACATTTTTCCAGTCACCTGTGGCTTTGGAACGCTTTGATACGCCCTCTCTAGATTGTACGCGGGAAAAGGAACCATGCCATCAACGAGATCCTATGACAAATAATATTATAGGCACAGAAGATTGCCTGCACCTCAATGTATACGCACCAGCAAAGCGCACTGCCAGACCACTGCCAGTTATGGTGTGGCTACATGGCGGCGGATTTTTCTTTGGCTCAAGCAAAAAGCAAGTGAATTCCATATAGACGAATATGGCGACTTTGACAAAGAGCAGCAAAATAAATTTAACATCATCTTAAATCTTTATTTGCAGCATATTGCCGTTAAGTTTAATGTGTGAGGATGTAATTGTAGTGACACTAAATTATCGTTTAGGTGCTTGGGGTTTTTTATGCCTACCCGAGGAGGGTATTTGGGGTAGTGCCGGTTTGAAAGATCAGGTATTCAAGTTTTTATTCCATGCTCATATTTTGGTTTATGACTTTTGTTTAACTAGCGGCTAGCTCTGCAGTGGATTCACGAGAACATCGCTCACTTTAATGGCGACCCTAATAATGTTACCTTGTTCGGTGAAAGCGCTGGCGCTGCATCTGTTCACTTGCACACAATGGCTCCCCATGCAAATAAACTCTTTCATAAAGCGATTATGCAAAGTGGCGCCGCTAATATGGAGTGGGTTTTCCAACTAACTCCACAAAACAAAGTGCGTGGCCTTTGCGAATTGTTGGGCTGCCAATCACGCGATACGCGGGATATGCTAAACTTCTTACAATCGCACGAAAAAGTAACCCCGCTGAATGTTCTTGCTAATACGTTGCCTCTGCTTTCTTCAGATGAACGTCGCCGTGGCTTGCCCCTCCCTTTCGGACCTGTCGTTGAAGATCAAAGCAGTTCTGATAGATTTATCAGCATGCCAGTAATGGAACGTATGCGAAAAAAAGATACCCTGGCCATGCCAATTATAATGGGCTACAATTCTGCTGAAGGCATTATGATGCTGATAAATGCTATACGTAAAATCGAGGATATAGATCAAGATTTGTCTCGCTTTGTACCTCGTAACATTCCACTGCATACGGATCACAATGATATACAGTATTTAGCACAAAAGTTACGCGACTTTTATTTTAATGGTAAAAATATCACGCACGAGCAATTTGATGCCATGACTAATTTATTGACAGACTACCATTTCATGGTGGACACGCAGCTGGCTTTGAAATTGCAGCTGGAACACCAGCCTCGCGCACCCATCTTTTTTTATAGGTATGATTATTGTGGTGGACGGGATCTATATAAACGATTTTTCCAGTTGGAGCAGATACCTGGCGCTTGTCATGGAGACGAATTACATTACCTTTTCCAAACGCCAGGTGTTGACCCCAGAAAATTTGAGGAATGCGACAGGCAAAACATTAAACGTCTTAGCGCACTCTGGGCTAACTTTGCGCGTCATAATATGCCCACTCCACCAGAAAGTCCTTTTACCAAAGAGTTGGGCTGTATTTGGACTCCGCTAAAGAGACCAAATAAGGATGAGGACTTTGGTTTGGATTGCTTCATTATTGATAGGGAATGTAGAATGCAACGTGGTCCCGACAAGGATCGTATGGATTTCTGGCATGAAATATATCGAAATTATCCACCGTTGGACTACTCGCGGATGAGCGCAAAGTTGTAATTAACTAAAGCTGTTCTAAAAACTAAACCATTCACCAAAAGATGCTATTGGATTTAACTAAAGCTGTTTTAAAAACTAAACCATTCACCAAAAGATGCTATTGGATTTAACTAAAGCTGTTTTAAAAACTAAACCATTCACCAAAAGATGCTATTGGATTTAACTAAAGCTGTTTTAAAAACTAAACCATTCACCAAAAGATGCTATTGGATTTAACTAAAGCTGTTTTAAAAACTAAACCATTCACCAAAAGATGCTATTGGATTTAACTAAAGCTGTTTTAAAAACTAAACCATTCACCAAAAGATGCTATTGGATTTAACTAAAGCTGTTTTAAAAACTAAACCATTCACCAAAAGATGCTATTGGATTTAACTAAAGCTGTTTTAAAAACTAAACCATTCACCAAAAGATGCTATTGGATTTAACTAAAGCTGTTTTAAAAACTAAACCATTCACCAAAAGATGCTATTGGATTTAATTGGTAATTAAGTACGTGAAAATACTCATCCTTTTTTTTCATTTCATAGTAAGTTTTTGTACATACATATTAGATAATACGAGGGAATATTTAATTTAAATAAAGAAACGGACTAATATACTTGCCTTGATTCTCGTAATTATTTATTTACGCCTCAATTATTGAATCCACTATAGAAAACAACGAATCCGAATACTTTCCACGAATGCATTCAGGTGTCTTTTTTTAAGGACTTGTAATATACTGATATTCATGGCTTTAAAAAGATTTCTGTTTGATATTATACATCCTTTTTAGAACTTGTAAAAATTCTTCTTTGATATTTCCCATTGATAAGTCCCATTTTAAATGCATTATAGGAGAGGAAAAACACTTGTTATAGCTACTTTCTTCAAGTATTTCGCAAAAAATTTAATACAACATTTGGCTGTTTAAGTCAAAGGAAAACTCTACACGAATCAGAGAGATTCGATCTTTATTCAAAGATTTCGTACTACCTTTTGCTGCTTCTTTTTGACTTAGCCAATTTTTCTTTCATTGAATGTAAACGAGTATAGATAAAACAAGCACCTTTATCCTAAAAAAAAAAAACATTTTTAATTTCTCTAACCTGTATCAAAATATGAGTTTTCTTTAAAAAGTGGACTTAGCAACTTTTCACTCTAAGCTAGCGAAATATTCTTTAAGATTGTGGTTGATTCCTGTGTTAAAGCTTTATCTTATCAATTAGTTTGGAATGAAATAAAAAGAATGTCAAGGATATTGCTTTTTATTTTCTGCTTAGAAAATACAAGAGCTTCTTGTATTATCCGTTCGGATATCCGGCTACTATCCTTCAGTTGTGCCATCCGGATATCCGTTAATAGCCGTTCATTTTGTATTCATAATCTTCCTTCGTTCATTTCGAAAAGACATGAGCAAGTTGCAAGTAAGTCTTTAACAAACACACCCAAAGATTTTGTTTTATTTTCCTCCACTAAAATGAAAATCATATTAAAAGGGAAACGATCATACTTAGTTGTGTTTGTTTGTAAACAAAAAGTAGTGCGAGAAGTTTCTGCTGATAAGAATGATAGCAAAATGCGAAAAGGAAATAGAAATAAATAGAATGTGTAAATTAGTTTGGCGTAAAGTGAATTAATAAATACTAAAAAGCAAGAATTATTAATGTGATACTTTGCGCATTCACAAACCACACACTTTCTAGCACTAAAAACTAGTTGTCCAGCAATTTCTTAATTAAAAAGATGTTAAACCGTTTTACGTCTAGGTCTAAGGGCATACGAAGCAGTTCCTTGAGATTCTGTAGCCAAAAAATACTAAGATCGGTGCGTCAAGGTGTTGTTGCTGGACGAGAGGAGCACTTATCCAGTGGGATCAAATACTATTGCTTTCAAGGAGTACCCTATGCAGTTCCACCAATTGGGGAATTACGATTCAAGGTAAAAGATTATTGTTTTCAGGGGTGGGGTTTAGTACCGCTCACAACTATTTCTGGCTATTCCGTCCAAATGGGTGGCCCGATCCAAAAAAAAATTTCACACACTTGTAGTCAAGGGTCCACGCAATATTTTAACACTCACTTTTGTAAATTTTGGTTACTAATTTATTTACAAATTGGGTTTGAAATATGCCCTTTTTTGTAAAATTCGGAAATTAGCGTACATTTATCACTCCTATTCTGCTTAAATTAGCCACTTTACCAATATATTTTTGTATTCCCCTTCACTTTACACTTTACTTGATTTGTTATAACTTGCTTTACGACTTTAATATTAACCAATTCATCACAATTCATTAAATAAAAACACCTTCAAAATCACGCGTCTGACTTTGGTTGCATATGCAAATTAAATGGCGGAGTTCAGCTGTCAAACTCCAAAATATGCAAAAGAATGAGAGACAAAAGAAGATAGGATATAACCCAGTAAGCATTAAAAATATACAAAGGTGTTCTCTGCAAAAGGTGTTCAGCTCCTTTTCTTCGCAAAACAGAAAGGAGAATTCTACTGCCTGAGGGTTATAATCCCTAAGTGCGGCCGAAGGCCGCTTACGTAGAAAGGAATTCTACGCAAAAATACATTTGTTAAAAAGAACATTTTTTTTTATAAAAACTGTTTTTTTTTCTATTTTTAATTAACTTTTTATTCTTTATTCAAAATCCCCCCATATCTAATTTGGCATAATTTCTTTTATTAAAAAATCCCACGGTTTCTGTTAGTTGGGTCATATTCCACTTCAAACTGCTCAGTTTGCCTAAGAAAAATCCGTTTTTCCCCCTTTTTCAAACGGTTCCCTAGGTGCCTGTGGGAGGAGTCCAAGGGAGGGGTTCCCCTTTTTAGAAAGCGGCTACTGTCTCCTTTCTATTGGGGGGTGTTTTGGGGGCCCCGCCGCCTCCCCCTCCGCCCCCCACCCAAAAAACGGTGTGAGTGGTACTAAACATTTCCCGTTTTCAGTAATAAAGTACTATTTTTAAATAGTAATTATCGGAAATTTCTTAGTCACCAGAACCATTAGAACGCTTCGATCAACCACTGCTGGATTGTACACACTTAAGAGGCCCTTGTCACCAAAGGGAAGCAACAACAAGCAAAACTGTGGGGTCAGAGGATTGTCTTCACCTCAATATATATGTTCCAGCTAAATGTGCCGCTGAGCCAATGCCAGTTATGGTCTGGATACATGGCGGTGGATTCATTGCAGACACTGGTAATAAGTAAGTATGTAATTTGTGTGAATGCGATAATTTCTGATCTATTCAAAATAAGAGAATTATCAACCCTACAAAGGTAAAGCTATTTAAAACTCGTTCAATTAGCTCACAGTTTTCCAATGCAAAAATAAGGTTTTGTATTTTAATTGAAAAACTCATACGTACCGTAATCCTATTCATCTTATGGCATACAGCTTTGTAAAAATGACCTTTGAATATGTATGTATATATGTATGTAAGCTATTTTACAATTTGCAATACATTCTAGGTACCTGCCTCTTAGTCTTTTGCACGAGGGCGTCATTGTCGTTACATTAAATTATCGCTTAGGTGCCTGGGGTTTTTTGTGTCTGCCTGAGGCGGAAATTTGGGGAAATGTTGGTTTAAAAGATCAGGTAAAATACCTTTCATCAACAAGACATATAAAAAGATAATTTTATGACTTTCTCTATAAACATAGCGCCTTGCTTTACAATGGATAAATGAGAATATCAAAAGCTTCAATGGTGACCCCAATAATGTAACACTTTTCGGGGAAAGTGCTGGTGCTACAAGCATTCACATGCACACATTTGCATCGCATGCAGGCAAATTGTTCCATAAAGTAATCATGCAAAGTGGCACCGCCAACATGGAGTGGGTATTTCAACGTCAGCCAAGCGTAAAAGTACGTCGCTTATGTGAATTGCTCGGTTGTTCATCAACGGATCCAAAGGAAATGTTTGAGTTCTTACAGTCTCCCGAAAAAGTAACTCCAGAGGCAGTTTTAAGCAAGACTCTATCTTTACTTTTACCCGATGAACGACGCCGCGGTCCACCTTTCCCACTACGGCCTGTACTCGAAGATACGAATAGTCCAGATGCCTTTATTAGCATGCCAGTTTTGAAACAAATGCGCAGGCACGATACGTGTGCCATACCCACAATAATCGGCTACAATTCAGCTGAGGGCCTTACACTATTAAAACATTCTGTTAAGCAAATCGAGAAGGTCGACCAAGACCTTGAACGTTTTGTACCTCGCAACATCCCACTATCTATCGATCATCCGGAAATAAGCGCACTGGCACAACAAATTCGTAAATTCTTTTTTGGTGGTCAGAGAATTACAAAGGAGCATCTACCAGGCTTATGTAATTTAATAACGGATTATCACTTTCTAGTCGATATATACTTTGCCACAAAAATGCATCCGATCTATCGGCCAGGTGCTCCACTCTACGTCTATCGTTTCGACTACACGGGCGGACGTGATTTTTACAAACGTTTATTCAATTTTGAACACCTCAGTGGCGCTTGTCATGCAGATGAACTACACTACCTCTTTCAAACTCCAAATGATGATCTCAGCACATTTGCAGAGGATGACGCACAAATCACCAAAAGACTCAGTGAAATGTGGGCCAACTTTGCTCGTTATGGGGAACCAACTCCACAAAACAGTAACATTGCAAACGAACTCGGTTTTATGTGGACCTCTGTAAAGAAATCAACAGGACAAAAAGAGTGCAAAAATTTAGATTATTTCATCATTGATCGAAAATGTAGCATGCGCCAGGAGCCTGATAGGGATCGCATGGAATTCTGGGAGGAAATATATCGGAAATTTCCTCCATTAGACTATTCGTTATTGAATGCGAAACGCTAACTGTTGACAGTTACATACAAGTGTTTTAAAAGTTCATACTAAATAACTGTGGTCATAAGCAATAACCGCCTAAGTCGACTTAACCCTAATCTCCTAAATTTAAAAATTTACACAGATCCTAAAGTGAGACTCTGAGGCTCATATGTGGAAAACGGTTGAAACGCATAATTTTAGTCTTTGCTTCTTACTTTTATTGATGCAGTAACGAATCCAAAAGCATTTTTTCTTGTTAAGAAAGTTTTGAAGTGAATACATAGCATTAAAAAATATAATTTTAGTTCATAAAGCAGTTGAGAAATAATTATGAATTACATTTTTCACAAATTTTTGTAGTTGTAGAATGTTCATTACAAACATTTTGATTGCATTTGTTACAAATTTGTTTTTGCAGTTTAGATTTTTTTGCTGGACAAAGATGACAGCGTTTTCGTTTTAAGGTACCAGAAGAACATGGTTGCGAATCAACAAGTGATGATGACTTTTTGTCCAAATATCACATGAAGCAATACCAGCAGCATCAACTAAATTCATGAAAAAGGCAAGAGGCCATCTATTACACTTGCGCTTGATCATATATTCGTGAATTAGTTGATCCAATGTGTCCACGCCCCCTTTGGTTTTATTGTAAAATGTATTGATCTCCGAAATTCGTTTTCCTTGTTCTTCAAAGACGTTAGCATCATGATGCATAGTTGACATGAATATAACTGATTTTCTTGGCATTAGAAGCAATCGTTAAATGCTTTTGAAAACCGAGCATTATTGAATTAATCTCACGCGACTTGTTCGGCAAAAATTCTGGTGGAATACAGGGCTCGAATCGTAACATACGATAGCGTACCACTCGTCACGTAAAAACACATTTTTCGGATTATGACTCACGTGAACGTACTCATCCTGCTGATTCAATCATTTTACAGCTCTGCTATACACCACTCAAAAAAAATTAAAGTTAAATAAAGAGGCTATCAAGCAACCATTTGGGTTTTTTACTGTCGAAGCCAGATACATTTTCGTAGACCTTACAACTCGTGGGCCCCCATATTTTTTTCATGCCAACGTAGACCCCCACGGTTAATTTCGATCCCTGAGAGCTCAGTGTTTGTTCAGAAGTGCGAGCCAAAATGCTTCATCTTGAAAGCTGATATAAAAGGATCAGTAGAAATTCCAAATTTTGCCGCATGAATACCCATCGCACAATGGCCTGTAAGAACCCCCATCACTAGCCCGTGAGAGTCAACGTGTTTTTCGACACCTTTAAGAGGTAACGATGGGCCACTCATGTCTTGCGCTACAAAAGGTATTTTAAACTGCCCTATAAAAACATTTGCTGCAGCAGAGAAACGTTTTATTTTCCTTTTTATGTCACAAAGGGTTCCGGTCTCGTGCAATTCTGTCTGCAATATCCGCAGGTGCCGTGTTCCACATACGTTAAGCGCCAGTGTAGGTGTGGTTCCTAATGGTCCGTTGATTCCTGTTTTTAAGTGTAGCCTTCTCTAGTGAGTTCCACCAGATAAGGCTTAAATCTGGTTTCCTAGAGCTAATGAATTAATTTGGGAGAGACCTCACCTTTTATCGAAAGCTCCCCTATAGCAGTACAAGGCAACCGACACGTTTCTTACCCTTTCCTCAATGGTAGGCTTCCACGACAGCCGCCGTTGATCACCCACCTAGCAGATCAAAAAGGGTTTATAGAAATCGTCCCTTAACCGTCCCCCATCAACCCTTAATCATTTACATAGGCGATCACCCGACATATCACTTTTTCCAGTTCCTCTAGAAGGTCGTTTACAACCGCAATCCAGAGCAGGAGAGAGAGAACAACACATTGGGGAGTGCTCCTATTGACTCTGCGCTGAGTGCATGCGCTCTCCCACTCCCACACGTTTCTTATATAAAGGTCTATCAGTCTCTCTAGAGTTTTTAGCAAATGTGCCTGGTCCTCACGCAGTTCGCATAAAAAGGATCCAACGAATTGCACGACACCTTCTGAGCCCTTTGCAGCTGCGCAGGTATGATGCCATCAGTCACCTGCGACTATAATGGTTTGAACGAATTTATCGCCCAGGCCATGTGACGATCGTCCAGAAGATCGGAGAACTACAGGACCTGAAGTACAAAATATCGCAAAGAAGTACATTTGACTGTACTTCGAAGTACGAAGAACGAAGTACAAGAGCGAAAAAAGAAGTACTGTACTTTCGAAAGAAGTACGGCGGGTCACATTAGTTATGTGACCAAAGTTGTGCACAAGTGCGCTCGGGTATAATAAACAACCAACCACTAAGGATGCTAATGAGTTTAGCGAAACGTCGGCCAATAATAGTGGAATAACTTTGTTTTATTTTGCACTAAAGGATACAAGATCGGATAAGCCTATTTGAATTTGAAAATCTTTGTAATCCGAGGTCGCAGGTTCATATGCGAGTGATGAGAAGATGCGGTGATCTCCGATATAGCAGATATAACTGCTACCAAAATGTAAACTACTGCTGTTTTTCCACAAAAATTTTCATTAATAATGGCCTCAAGTTCTATCAAACTATTGAATGTCATCGATAACTATTATTTTGAGATTTATATTTTAAAGGTCTTACCATAATAATTGTTAGTGGGACACAATTGTTGAAGTCTTAAATGACGATGCTTATTCAGGACTATTTCAGGATTAGTTCGGGCTCGCTTTTGGTCTAAACTGGGATCACTTCCGGTCTAAAATGGGATCACTTCCGGAAGAGCCCGGGCCCTAGTCTGGGACCAGTTTGGCCTAACTCTGGCTGTCTTTTGAAACGGACACTGACATATTGTGCGTGAATTGGTCCCGAACTAAGCCTGAACTAATCCATAACGAATTGGTCCAAAACGAAATCTGAGCTGGTCCCAAACTTGGCCCGATCTCGTCCTAACCAGGACCATAACTACCACCAAATTGGACCCAAACTAGTCCTAAGCTTGGGCGGAGGCTCCATGCTCCATGCTATTGTATACAACCGTTTGAGTTTTGGGGGGATCCCCTTGTGTGGATTACGTTGGATACATCAAAATTTCAATCGGCGGGCATGTAAACAGACCCTGCGAGCTCTATAGGCTGGACGTTGAACAGCTCAATTTTTATTCCACCACCTCTGAGGCCTTTGTCGTATTTGAGCTGCATTTTTCCTTAGGGTTGGTGAAAGATTTTGCTCCCCTTGTATGGAAGGGTATGTGGTTCGTCGCTACACATGATGTACTTATATTTCTCTTCCTAAACGCGACCAGATTACCATCCCTGTTTCTGTTCTCTGTTAAAGTTTCAACCCGAAAACTTACTAATTATTTTCTATAACTTCAGATGTAATGCAGTCAGGTCTATGAGAATATTTGCGAGCTTTTAGTTCTTTTCGTAAAACCTGTTCGTCTAACACACCTCTTTTTCGGTTCGATCAAGCCGAAATTGAGACCTTTCTTACGGTTGGACTCGATGAAAACCACCAGCACATACCAAAAATTCTTTATATTTTTTGACTTTGGGTATCCAACCGATCACAGCCCTATGCTCTCTAATATGCACTGGATTGACTTGACGTCGACGGAACGCTGTCTTTGTATTGAATACTAAGAGTATTACGAATGATTGTTTCTTATTACCTGGTGCTTGGTACAACAGCCCTTGGTCGGGAAATCTTCGAGTAATTACGGTATATACCGTGAGTACGGGGACCAGACTTGCCAGAAAGCCGACTGATGTCGACCGAACACCACCTGTGCAGGGGGCATCAATGCACAACTTAATGTCTCTGGCTGGCTGCTACTGCAAGGCGCATCCAAACAGTCACTTGCTTGAGACAAAGCCTCACAGATACGTCTGAAGCATCTCCTAGAATTCACGGACGCGATCCAGACACACATGACGCAACAACTGGACCCGGCGGAGAATCTGTCAGCATCTTCAGAGACTCTCTTCCCATGAAAGCTGTTATTGGAGCCTTGGAAGGAAGAGTTTCAGCTGTCGCGAGATACCCGCGGCTGATCTTATAATTATCCGGGCTCGAGCCCGACATACCAAACTTATGTCCGACTTGGAAAGGTTTCCTCCACAACACTAACCACCTTTTCAACTGCCCATTAACACCCCCTCCTTTTGGTCCAACCCTGTCGGAATACCACGTTTCCAAAGCCTACCATTAGTAGAGCTTCACAACAATTGTTGGGTTAGCCGATTTATGCAAGGCTTAGTAGTGCAGCTACAACAAAAAAAAAAGACGAAACATTCACCATCTCACGATTGTCGGTTTATTTTGCCTAGTCGACAAGGAAAATCTCGGGACAGGTTTATACTTAAGCGCACCTCAAAACATTAAATGGTTAGGAGGCAACTTGCAGCTACAAAAACGATCACATAAAAGGACGACAACAATCACATCAAAAACTACAATTATGGCCATGACGAGGATATTCTTGTTGTTGTTGTTGTTGTAACATACACATTCCCCAAAGAGGTTTTGGGGAGTGACCTTGGAGTGATAGTCCTTGGCCAGGTATAAATCCTGGGTGGTTCCGGTGACGTATCCTTGACACGGATATTCGGATGTATTCCTGTTGACGCTGTCTTTTGATAACGTAATAGAAACGATAATTTAGCATCAGCGTTGGCAATATCGACATTTATCGGAAATATAACGGTATTCTCCATTTTTAAATAAAGATATTCAGGGCTATCACAAAATCCATCGTAATCCGATTTTTCTTGAATTCTACGAAAATGCAATCCTGGAATTCGAATAGCTGCGAGCGTAGCGTATACTTTGAATACACGAGCTCGTGGCGATTCCGATTCATTGATCGCTTTTCCGTAGATTTCACGAAAAATCGGACTACGATGGATTCTGTGATAGCCACCAGTAACGGTGTAGAAACATCATTATCTCATTGTGAATTTAGGCCAGCGGGATTAGGCCCGATTAATAACGGTTATTGCAAGTAAATATGACATGAATATGGATGCGCTCAGAAATGCATCAAGTCAAATCATCAGTATCTTTTATTTCTAAACTATTATTGATGGAAATGTCTTATCTGCGCAAATAAGTTCAAATTCGGATTTTAACCGTGGTGCGCATATTTGACATTTTCATTAATTATAGTTTAGAAAGAACACGAGACTGATGCTTTGGCGTGACGCATTTCTGAACGCACTCTATATTAGATTGAAACGGGGAAAAATTTATTAACCACAAAAGCAAGCATCCAAAATTCAAAATCGTCCGAAATAATCGTACCCTGTTCCTCAAGTGGAGATAAAACTTTGATCCAAAAGTAGCGGGGAATTATTTACTTCCGAGGCAAGTAGTATATTCTCTAGTTATTTATTTCTTTTTCATTTATTTGACTAGTTCATTCGCTTAGAAACTAACAAAAATAAAAGAATTTGCTTACATATAATATAAAAAATATGGAAACTTAAATTATTATTTATGACAAATAACCGAATACATACATATATAAAACGCGTTATTCTAGTGAATTTTGCTGCCGAAGTGCTCAATGTACGATCGGTTATTATTCGAAAAGACTTGAGACTAAATTAAAAATTAACATTCTTCATTTTCTTAATAAAATATGTATGTATTTTTGTAATGCAAGTTTGAGTGTTTAAAGTTATTTGGCTTTGATTCATTTATTATGTATGTAGGTATATTGGATTTTACTTGATTTTAATTGAAATGTTTTTGTTGACAAATATTTAAAGTTGCATGACACGATTTGGATTTAATGGAATCGAGTTAAATTTGTATTGTTTGTCGTGAAGCGTATAAACGAAACGCGTACAAAAACTTATATTTAATCATATGCACATACACAATAATACATACATATATATTACATATACATACATACATATGCAAATTGAAAATTGCAAAAAATACTATTTGCTATTTCGAGTTTCTGGTCAACTTACTCATACACTTAAATTAGCTACTATGCGTACAATTCATACATACAGACATTTAATCTAACAAGGATTACACAGAATAATTATGATTTTTAATGCTCTTATTAATTTACGCTTTTTATTTTTTGTTTATTGAAATATTTGTTGCGCCGCACTCCTACAAACTGCAATTTATTTCGCGTACATTTATATAGAATTCTTATAGACTTAGTAGGAGTACATACATGTAAGCGTTTTTTAATGAATTCGAAATTTTATAGTATTTATATTTAAATTGCACAAAAAACACAACAAAAGTGGAATTACATACATAAGTTCGTTTCAATGTTTTAAAAAAATAAAATAAAATAAAAAAAAGTAAACATTGGGTGAAAGGCTCAAGACAGCGCCGCTTCGAAGCTTAGAATAAAAAATGATTGAAGTGTGACCTAATTAGTATCAAAATTTTGTCAAATTTCTTCTTTCTATACTTCAAAGAAATTGAGGGAGCGTAGTATTGTATTATTACACCTCCCTATTACAGTTGGTATGGTCCGGATTTACATACTTTTATTCGGTCATGAATTGTCACTTGAGCAAAAAGGAATGGACATGAGGCAGATTTAAACTAAATTCACTTGGAATTGAATTGTAGAACCTGCCTAAATGTTACAACAAGAACTTATGGTAAATGAATTACATAAAAATGTTATATGCTCCCTAATATTGTCACATAACAAAAGCGATTAAAAATTCGCATTGGTTAAGCCCGAAAATTAATGATAGAATTATAAAAACAAAATCTTAAACGTTAGCAAACTAAAACAAGTAGCACAACCGACTTCAATTCTTATATAAAAATTTTGGAATACCGTTAATTTTTGTATGATCCAATGATCGGCGCTAAACCACCGACCACCGGGACCACCTGTGGGACACTCTACCTTTCCGACGAAAAAAAATTATTGAAATCGGTTGACGTTGGCCAAAGTTATGCGGTAACATACATAAAAAAAAAATAAATAAAAATATTCCGACGAATTGATAACCTTCTCTTTTTTTTGTAGTCGGTCAAAAACAACCACATTCATATTTATGAAAAAAATCTAGATAATAATAAAATCGTTACATCGTAAATATGTACTGCATTTGGTGTTGCATCCAATACCTTTTGAGTTTCTGGCTTTCTCTTAATTTAGAGTTGTTGTTGCTATTGTTGGCGCTATTTCCAATCTACACGCAATTTAATGCAAAATTTTGCGGGTATTTTTTTTTTTTCTTAGAAGCGCTTCAACGCAAATGTTCGCTTCAGATATAAGCAGACGGCTCGATGAATCAATTCATACTGCTCTGAGTTTTGTACCATTCCACCACGCTGTAAACGCAAATTACAAACAATGCCTAGAATGTCTACGAAAATGTCAGGAATTTTGGGTAGTTCCCCAAGCGCTGGCAACGGACACGTTAACGTATCCCCTTCACGTGCCGTATCCGCTGTATACTTCTTGTCAGGCGCACCCTCTTCTTTAGCCGTTTTAGCGTCCGCATCTGCGTCCATTTCGCTTTCATTCGCAACGCTTTCGCTTTTCTCTTGCTGCAACTGCTGTTGCTGTCGCCTTAGTATGTAGTTAACATAGTAGAGCGTATTCCGCGTAAAACTACTATCAGTGTCGGTTACACTGCTTGCTGTGGTAATTGCGCGCTGCGCTTGCGCCACGAATTCAACGGGCAACTGAAAATCGACGGGACTCAAAAGTGCTTGTGCTGCTAATTCACCAACAACACCAGCGCTGCTGTCCCGCTCTTTTCTCGCCTCAGCGGCCATTGTTGTTAGCGAATAGGCGAATGATTGACGGAGCTGACGCACAGCATTTAATATTGCGGTAAGGCATCCAGTGCGTCCGATTCCTGCAGAGCAATGAATGACCGGTAGTGGCTGCATAGCATTGAATATATCTTGTTGATACAAGTCTACCGCTTGTGCGGACACGTGAGAAGTTTTTTGTGGTTGAAGAACGCTAATAACGTCATCGTCGTCATCGTCCATTTCGAATGCATCAAATTCCGATTCGCATTTGCCGAGATTCAGTATGTGTAGACAGATGTCAAGTAGCGTGTTGATGTCCCGTGGCGAACGGTGGTCAGGCCAGTCGGGATACCAGTAGTGATAGCAGTATAGCCGATTGATAATCAATTGAGTACCACCATTACATTCTTCTGCATTCGCGCCAATATGGATGCAATACAATATTACGAATTTACGTATTGAGAAACCATTCTTGCGTACAATACCGATATTTTTTATAACGAAATAATTGCCTTTCGACTGTGGCAGAAACGGTAGCAGTTCTTCGCTTACTTTTGCTTGGTAGTAGTCGATTCCAATGTGTGATTCAGGCTCGGTACCACCGTCAGCCAAATGAAGGGGCGGCGGAGTTGTTTCATTCGGCAGCAAATAGGCGTTGAAAAAGTCCACTAACTCTGCAGTAGGTTCAACGACTTCATGCCAGCTTGTCGTTATAAATATTTCGTTTAATTCAATCGGAAAATATACGGCACATTTTTGTCGATTATTTTCGGCAAAATTCGTGAGCATTATGACTTTTTGATAAAACTGAAGCGTTCCCGCCTTGTTATCGGTGGTTTGAAAATATCGTCGTGTGTTCTGGTACACCATTAGCCAGAATTCAAAGATTGTGTTCGGCAAGGGCCCTTGCGTGGCCACGTAACATTTAGATGTATAATCTGGTCCCTTAAATGAAGAAACATTATTTTTTAGTTTTTATAGATAAAACAAATATAAATCCCTTACCTTTATATAATTTGCATTAATATAGGGCACTTCGTCCGATATATTGAGCTGTCGTAATATATGGTCAGCCAATTGTGCGTGTTCATCACGAATATCTTCGGCCAATTCGGTCAACTGTTTCCCCTCCTTCTCTAATAGCACACGCGAATTTTCATTTGGCAAAATAGTTTTGTATCGGTTCTTTGCCTGCGATCCGAATACCATAGGTTTTTCTTGATGATTCAATGGCAGATCCCAAAATTCTTTATGCAGATCGCAGAATATTCGCTTTTGCTCATCGTCATCGGGCTGTATCGCTGGCAGTACCGACTGTACTGCAGCCAAATAGCGTTCTGCTACTTCACAATCCTCGGAGGTGGTCACATGCATGCCTGGCGGTGTCTCAGCCTCTTTATTGCAGCGTACGCTGAGCATGGGCACCGCTTGCTCAGCCAAGCCTTTGTTGTTGGACGCATAGCTGTTATCGAAAATGTAATTGAGTTTTATAAGATCGAGCTGATTGAGTGCATTGGAAGCGTTTTGCAGCATCTGTATATTGGCCAAATATATCTTGAACTCTTCACTGGTACTTTGTGGTGACAACGGGCGCGTCATTATATTTCGCACACCTGTACACGAGCACACAGTGCTGTCCTGGAAATTGAAACTATCCCGTCGCCCTTCGGCATGTAAAGGCTGATTACCATTACCAACGCTCGTACCAATGCCATTGGGACCCCCACATTCCAAAGACATACTAGCGCTCGGTTTTAGATCGGATACGGAGCCAAAGCACACTTGTTTGGCATTCCGCCGATGCGCTTGATTCAAGTCAGCAAAAGGCGTTGAACCGCGGTTGAGACTTTCGCTGCTGAAAAACCGTCGATGAGGAGTGGGCGGTGCACCTGACGGCTTCGAATGCAGCGTACTAATGTCGGCTTCTTCAGCGCAAGTGTCGCCCAAGTATAGGCTGCTGCGGGCATGTGCATTTCGCTCGGTGCCAATGCCGCCAAAAGAGCTGCCCATGTTCAGCGTCAAACTTTGATTGGAACCGCGACGCTCCAATAGCCCTCTCTTTGGTGTAGCGTTGCTTGTTGTATTGTGCGTTGGTGTTATGAATGATGTAGTACGCGTAACTTTGTTCAGCGAGTGTTGGCTGGCATAGGAATTTAGATTGCCACATGATGCTGCCGCTAGGCTTGTAAGAGTGAGACTCTGATTGGAACCCCGTCGGCGGAACAGGCTCTGTTTTGCCCCTTGAGTCGCTGTAGCTTGTGGATGCGGCTGATTGGTGATGGGCGCGCCACTCAAGTCTAGGTTACAGCTTGATTTCGAGCTAAGGTTTGTTGCGGAGCTGCCAATAGCGGGGCCAAGGCTGTAGTTGGAAACGCTTAAGCCACTGCGACAATTTCCGAGTAAATTGCTGCAAGAGCCATTTAAATTCAGTGTTAAACTGTGATTGGAACCGCGGCGCTGCAGTAAATTGGTTGACGACGCTGATCCAGCTGGCTTAGGACGCATCGTCGCGCTTGGCAGCTCCATAGATTTCTGTTTGTGTGGTTGATGCCCGCCAGATGTACCTGTCGTTGTTGAAAACTCAACGAGTGTTAGGAATTCTGGCAAAGTTTTTAAATTTGTGTTCGAAGCATGCAATAAAGCGTTATGTTTGTGCATGCCGCGATGTGGTGTGAACGCCAGTGTCCCTGTACCAGGCGCGTAAGGTGCACAAAGAAGTGTGTTTTTATTATCCGCCTGGGCTTCATCATCAATCTCCTCCTGCAGCACCACCACCGTCGTATCGACTTCAAACTGTGGACGTTCAAATAAATCCGATTCCCTAGTGGCGGCACTACCATAAGTTTCTGCAGAGTTACGGTTACGGTTGTAGGCCGCCAACCATTCGGTAGATGCATTGCCGCTCGCGCTGCTCCCGCTTGGTTGCCGCCGGCGAGGCGTGCGTGGGAAACTACTACCACTCAGCGGGGTTTTTAAAGAGGACGTAGTGCTGCTTGGACATAGGGATTGGGCATGTAGATGAGCATGTGCAGTAAGTGTACCATCACCAAGCATTGATAACTGTGACAAGGAAGTTGAACGGTTACTGGCGGCGGCCGATGGAAGGCGCAGACACCGATCTGCTGCAATACGCTCGAAGCGAGCACCACTGACACTACGTGGCATAAATTGTTGAAGCGGAAGACAACTGCGCCGAAGCGTTTGCGCGTCAATCTCGTCACAACTTGCATGCGAATCACTTCGCCCGCTGGACGAGACGATAATAGTAAGTTCAGATTCTCTTGCGGCCGAATCAAGTGACAGTGCTTTTTCTTTGGTACTTTTAATGGTAGGTGTTTTCGGCTTTGGCGTAGGTGAAGGCGAGGTGGGTGCAGTCCCGCTTGGTTCCATCATACTACAGGGGACATTTGTAATTTTTATAGTCAAATTATTTTTGTTTTTGCGATTCTTTTTAGTGTCAACTGTGGTTGAGCTTATTGCACTTGGTTCTGCTGATACCCCGGCTACGCATTCGTCGGTGCGCGATTTGTCCTTATTGGTGTTTGAATTACTACCACTATAAATAACTGATTTTTTATTTTCATTGATAGCCCCACTGCTGCGTTGTCTGCTGTATCGAGTTTGTTGATTGTCACATACATTAGCGCCGGTTTCGTCGGTTTGAGGCTCCGTCCCAGATTGCTCACGAACAACCTGATCGATCTCTGGAAATTTAAAGTAATTGCCATTTTTATATCCCGCTGAGCTAATGACACCCAGTGGCGATCCAGTTAAGTTCAGATTATTTAATGATGCCAATAATTTTGGGGAACAGGGTAGGCGAGTACCGCTACTACTGCCACCAGCTAAATTTATATCAAAAATCTTTGGTGAAACTGCGTCAGCCTCCCTCAGCGTGATCGGTGAACTATTGCCACTATTCGAGCGTATTTGTGTGTCTCTCCAGCTTTCGGACATGGCTGGCCTATAACATGGTTTAGCATTTTCTTTATCTGCCATGGCGGCCACATTTTCCGTACTGCTGTCCATCGAAGCAGAGACAACATTTTTTAACAGCAGCTGTTGTGGCGAACAGGAGCGTCGTTCGTAAAGTGAAAATCGCCTTAATTTACGAGACACTACCGGCGAACTACTGCTGGACAATTGCTGTCTAGCACTAGCTAATGAACGCGAAGTAGCCGTTTGGGATGGCGTAGGAATTTTGCGTTGCAGAGTCATATCTGCTTGCTCAACCGCTTGTGGAGATTGACAATGCAACTCGACTATGTCTTCCATGTGCTCTAGTTTTGTTGGCGAAGGAAATTCGAAAGTACCCTGCACAAACTCCATTGGTGTGTAATAAGGTGTGCTCTTGTTGCTGCTAATGTCATCATAGTCGATTGCTGTATCAGGTGTTGGAGGCGCGTATTCAAAGTATCCACCACGCGACGGCTCTGAGCTAACAGGAGTCGCGCAGCTGCTGTTACTGCCGACAGCAGCAGCGGTGATAGTGACTGCATGGTGATGCTGGTTTTGCTGCTGCAATGTCGTTATAGTCTGATTATTGTTTTTACGACTTTCCATTTTCAATCACTACAGATTTATTTAAAATGTAAGACTGCAAGAAAGCGCTGCTGTTTATTTTTTCATTGCAACTGATGTCATGTTGGCGAACATCATGTAACTAGCAGTTATTGTATCTGTAAATAGTACATACATTTGAAAATAATTAAAAAAAAATATTTATGCAAAGCATTAGTAGATGGTTATGATGATACCAAAGAGCATATTTTCTATATTACGAAATGGTATTATTCACCATTTGCTATTTATTTCTAAATATCATTACTGCTTGCAGCTCTCGGATTTAGGTAATGCTTAATAGGTATGTGAAATGTCTATATAACTTATATAAACTTACGAAACTCAAAGTAAACAGTAAAGAGATTTCAGGTCTAAACAAAAAGTTGGCAACTATTGTATTGCGATTTAAATACGCACAACATTTGGCAGGTTTATTAACAAGTCGTAAGGAGATTATATACAATTGTGTGCGTTGTTTAAATTGGTCGGCAGCCGCAACCGCCACCACAAGTATGTACTCAATTTTTCATTTATATTTTCGTGTACACTGTACACTTTATGGGAGCGAAGACCTGATTCGATATTTACATAATATATTTGCAAATAGGAAATACAATTTACAATACTTTGGAAACATTCTAAACTTATGTATTTGTAGAGTTTAGTATTTCGTTTTTAATTGGTTGCGTCGTTTCATTTGTTTATAGAAAAGGTGCAAAACGATAGCACATCTATAGTTTAAGATGCGCCCTGGACCTGCGGAAAATACAATATTCCAGATATTTGTTTATAAATAAACATTAAAGCAAAAAAGATTACTTCAGCAGTATGTTGAAATCAACATTCCCTCCTCAGACGCCACCTGAGCAAGTCTATGAATGATGCCATTTTTATTTTGATATTCCATAATTATTTTCAAAGGGGAAACGCTGTCGAACATATAAGCGTTAACAGCATTATGTACATTGTGCCGGAAGGACTTTCACCAGAACATTATTCATAAAATAGATTTATTTCTATTTATAATTTTAGTAGTGAGAATTGGGACGATTACTCCATAAACCACAGCAACTTCATTTTTCGATTTTTTTCTTTGTATGTACATATTTATGTATGTATTAAGTATGTCTGTCTATTGCTTTCTACGTTTTACATTTCGTCCGAGTCGCCACATCTGCACTTACTTGGACACCTATAGATAGTTAACCTGTCTCATTTCATGCATAATTTTCATACCCATTATAGTTGTTAATCCAGACCATCCACATAAAGAGAGATTAATTTCCATTTTAAACTCCAAGAAAATTCATTGAAATATATTCAAAATTGATAGTTGCACTTGCAGTTTGGTTCATAACTGGTCAAGCGTTTATCCAGCTTTTGGTACAAATATGTGGTCAAGTAAATTAGTTTACTTAATAATTGAACACTGGAAGAATTAAGTAGAGAAAAATTTAGTAGGTGATTTGCATTTCTTATTTATTTGATGGCGTATTAAATAGATCACCGAAAAATCACTAATATACACAACATGAACTAAATTTGGTGCACAAAGTATCTAGATACAAATTTCAGAGTTTACTAGTCTCAGACAAATTAGTATCTATAACTTGACAGTTCTTGTTCTCGCAAAAGGTACGCAAGGTTGCTTAAATAAAAGAGTCGAAACCAGTTATGGAATAGTGGATACAGGTGTTGGAAGTTCATTCGGTACAGTATTTATTTACATATTATATTTATAGATTTAAGTTCTTTAATACCACTTATGTGTTTGCCGGAGAAGAAAGGGCCTTATTTGGAAGAATTACAAATTTTTTATTGTCACTGAATACTTAAACCTCAAAAGCAGATCATGAAATATTTATACCAAATTAAAGGTAATAACTTGTACTTTCTAAATAATGTAAATTTTTTTGATTGTAATCACGTAATTTTCTCAAAAAAGGTTATATGAAAAATAATATAAATTAGGTACATAAACGTAAACATAAATTAGTTATCTTTTTTACACATTAATTTTTTTAATCGGTTATGTACTTCATAAGATATTAATATTTGTAGAAATCAAAAAAAAATAACTTTTAACACTAAATACCTTTAAAACTAGAAGGCTCCGGAACCTAAGAGTGGGTATATTTGAAAATTGGAGGAACACAGCTTTCCAATGGCGTAGTCAAAATTTGTCGCCCTGGTTATCGTAATCTCCTCGCGCCAAAAGTTTGTTGTGGAGTTGCTCGCCTAAAAAGCTTTTAAAGCCGAAACGACTTCGAAAGCCGCAACGCCTGTAAAACCTTCTATGGAGTTTCACCTTTATGCCCTTTTTAGGAACTTTTGTTTGCTATAAGGTACAAAGGGTTCCGAAAATTAGGAAGAAATTTTCCATCCCTGTTACAAAACTGTCATTTATCTGTTTTATCTGCAGGAACTTTTTTTGTTTAGAAAACGTAAAATTGTAGAAAATATTTTGTTAAGCGATATTCGCCAGGTTGCAATCAAATAACGCTGAATAATTGGATGGTTTGTGATTGGTAATAACATCTTACATTTTAACAATTAAATAAAACTGCATTAGCCGGCCAAGGATTACCTGAATAGTTTATGGTTTGTCCGAATTGCAAAGGTGTCTTTGTATTTTGCATTGTTTGCTAATTCGCCCTAAGCTGGAAAATTTGTAAATAATATAAAAACCCACAGAAGATGATTCATACTAAAAAGGGATAGTGCACCGAACTAACTGATAAAAAATAAAAACAAAGGCAAGTAAGTGATTTTCAGGCAGATAAGAAGCACCTTGGTTCCTGGATCCTGAAGTGGTAAATCTGGAAATCCTATTGATATTATTTTCGGGTTTTTGATGGAGTTTTGGGAAAGGGGAAGCGGAGCGCTAGTCTCTGGGCCGATTAGGTGCCCGTGCCGATACATACATAAGTATGCGTAGTCTCCTCGCCCTGTGTGTGCAGTCGTACATAAGTAAATATATACGCATATGTGTACATGGTTTGCAAAACTAATTAACACAATAGCAAATGATTTATGTACAAATTTTTATGCGATTCTTTGCTAAGACAAACCCAAATAAATCCAAAAGTCACTAATAGAGGTATCATAGAAAAGGCTTGAAACATATGTACTTGCCCAAACTGTTCTCTAATGTTTTTGCACAGTTCGTCGGCAAATAATTTCACTTCTTATTTTATTTTCCAGATTAAATGGCAATATCGAACAAAACCCTAAAATGGATCTAGTGGATATAGATCAAGTTTTAGATAATTTAGAATTACGTGAGGCCGCAGACGAACACAACAGGTCTATATCAGCTGCAAGTGCGCCTACAACAAAAAACAATGCAGAACTTACAAACCATTACCCAAGAGTAGGAAATTTAAATACTACAACCCACAAAAGTGGGTTTGTAGGCGTTTCCCAGGTATTTAACAGTTTAGATGATTATCAGAAAAATGTTGAGTCGTTGGAATCGGCGCCAGTGCAGCGTTATGACGAAGAGTGTCGGCTAATACCTGATAATGTGAGCACAACACAGGAATTAGATAAAAATACAAAAAAGAGTGGTTTTGATGATGCTGTGACTCCAAATGAACAAGTAACAACTTACACTTCTCAAATAACAACGAAAAATGAAACGGTTGAGAATGTCAAAAGTGGTAGTAGTATAACTGGATCGCACAATAATGTATACGAAGAAGATGTCGTGGATGAAGAAGAGGCCAGTGATGATTTACACAAGTTTACTGAAAATTCTAAGCATACACGGAAAATTGGATATGAAATGAATGAAGCAGCCGACAACAGTCCACTTTCGTCAGATTCATTAACCACTTCATCTTCGTCAACTTTTTCATCAGGCCCATCACCGGGAATCGTTTCCACTACTGATGAACAATCTGCACCACTTTCACCTGAGGAAATAAGCGAAGATCGAGATGCACTCTTGCCAGTACATCCGTACGCTGCGGGTCCAGATGATGAAAATTATGATGAAGAGGAGGCGGTGGCAATGACCGAAGACGGGTTGGAGACAGATGGTGAAGAACGGGATCCACTAAGTGCGCCACAAGCTGAAAGCACAGCTGGGCTAGAAGATATAGCTGCAGGCTTATCGTCCATATCATTGACAACCGGAAACTCGCAACTCAACTTACCGACTGCCTCGTCAGTATTGCAAAATGTGCTAGAAGATTTGTCGGAGACTACAAGTAACTCACTTTTAAGTCAGCAGATTGACGGAGCTCAGGAAAACAATCTGTTGAAAAAGGTAATACGACGTTAAAAATTATATAAATATTAAATGCTACATGCTAAAGGTATATTACAACTTTTATCAGGAATTACGGCTTAACTTCGATTTAGACAAAAGCGAACGAGCAAATGTAAAAAATGAGGAGGATATCACCGGTAAAAACTGCGAAGCTGTTGTGCCCCTAAAAAAACAGGAACCCATAAAAGTGTTGCAGCAACCGATTACCTTCGGTTCAACAATGGACGAAATTTCGGATACGGAGCTGGACAGTATGTTGCAAGAGATGGACATAGATGATGTCAGTGAGTTCGATGCTATGTCTAAGCTAAATGTTACAAATGCATGTGGCTCACCACCTCCTCCGTTGACATCAACAACAACCGCGAAAACATTCGAAAGTATATCGACAGTTGCTTCAGCAATTCCAAAACTAAATAATGCTGTAGTCGTCGACCGTAGAGCAAGCCCAGAGAGGAGAAATGTACTCGAGGGTGTGGAAAGCTACAGCGGCAATGATTGCGTAAATGCAGACAGTTTTTCCCAGGCATCGACGGTTGAATTTTCGGAAATACGCGCACATTCTACAGAAGCAGCTCAGGCAGACACTGATATGTTACCATCATCCAATTCCGTTGCATCATCATACACTGGTTCAGAATGTTCGCTGGAAGGTGGCGTGATCGGGGGACATCGGATAAGTGATGAAGATGAGATTGAAGATGCGACAGTGGACCGTCGAAAAGCTTCAGCTGAAAATGGAGACGATGAGGACGGCAGCACAGATGAAGACGCTAAAAGTGATTCAGCGGCGCAACGGCCACAACGTCCGACATCACTTAATTTGCCTATGTTGCAATCTAACCTTTATGAGAATGCCGGCCAAACGCCTCCAGGCACGCAGTCGACTCAAAATACAACACTTGGAACGGAAAATGCTGAGTCGAATGCGCCAAGTGCTGTTAGTTGCAATTCTGCGCCAAATATAACACCAGATGATGCTGTTGCAACCAATGGTGAAGTGGCTGAGGCAACTGGCTATAGTGATCCGTATGCGAATTTAGGCAAAGTGCCTCCTATTTGGGTGCCAGATAACATGGCTGCCGGATGCATGCAGTGCCATGCCAAATTCACAATGATTAAACGTCGTCACCACTGTCGTGCTTGTGGTAAAGTACTCTGCTCCGTTTGTTGTTCACAAAAATTCAAGTTGGAGTTCCTCAGCAACACCGCCGAATCTCGTGTCTGTTTGCAGTGCTTTCTCATACTTACACAAAGACAACAAGGCGCTGGCGCTATAGGAAGCGAGGTGGTGGCAACTGATATGCAAGATGATGTTTTAGCGGCAGCTGTCAGTACAAATTCCGCAACAAACACAACAGCAGGCGAAGTGCGCTCACCCAATCCGAACAATCCCATGGAGTACTGCTCCACTATACCGCCCTACAGACAGGTGAGCACGCAAAATACACAGCCACCATCTGTAATTGTGCCAGTGGGTGTACTCAAGAAAGAAGGTAGCAGTTATTCGTCGAATTCATCGAATGGCGGTGGGGATGGCAACAAGAAAGGGCGCAAAAGAAAGAGTGTTATGTTCAGTGATGGCATTGCACCCGGCAGCGATTTGGCCAGCATGGAACATCAGTGGGCTGACGCGAAACATGCGCGTCGTGGATCGCATCAACAGGGTGATAAGACACGAAATAGCAGCGGTGCAGTAAATAAACCACCGACTCCTGTGCGAGCCCAACCAAGTGGTAGTAATAGTGATGCCTCAACAATTGGGTTGGTGGCGTCGCTGTTTCGCGGTTCTTTACCACCACTGGCTGCAGCGGCTACAATATCAGCGGCTCAAGACGGCGCAGATGGTTAGTAGGAAAGTACTTCTTTTTGCTGAATTCAATATATTTTTTTTTATTCATAGATCACGCTAAAACAGCTGCGAGCAGATCGAAAAGCGTCACGAATAGCAGTAAGGTCCCAGATGCTGTTTCAGCTATGCGGTCAAAACGTTTACCTCCATCTGGTAGCGATGAAAATGGCTGCTTCATTCCGCCAGGTGACAACAACTCTTTGCCGCCAATATATGTACGCAAAGATGAAAACAGCTGTGATTTTGAATACAAAGAAGTTCTTAACAACCAAGATCTCGTGGCACGTTTACAAAGCGAGACAATCCGATTCGCACTGGAAAAAAATTTATTCGTTGACGTGAAAATATTAAATTGTAAGTACGGGCAACTAAACAAATTTCTAAATATGATTACTATATAATATATACATGCGTGTTATAACTACTTTTCTTCAGTGAAATGTTGCATGAATCGTACTGTTATCAATTTTACTACATGTGGCTTGCATCATGTTGGCAATGATGAGCTCATCATTTTATTGGAATATGAGCCACAATCCACCCCGCCGGACATAAGTAAAGACAATGAGGTGATGCCAATACCAAAGGATATATTTGTGCATCTTTATGAAATATATCGCGATGCTGAGTTGGGAAATCCAATCGCCGAATTGTCTTACACCAGTCCACGATCGAGCAATTTTTTAGGCACCCGCGACTATGGCGGCTTCATATTTATACGCGCTACTTTTCAGTGTTTGCAGGATGTTTTATTGCCAGAGCAACCCTTTCTCATTGGTATACTCATTCACCGCAACGAGGTGCCATGGGCCAAAGTATTTCCACTTCGTTTAATGTTGCGATTGGGCGCACAGTATCGCTACTATCCCTGCCCACACATTTCTATACGTAATCGAGAATCGGTTTATGCTGAAATAGCGCAGACAATAATTAATTTCCTTGCGGTAAGTAAAACGAATTTCCTACGAGTGAGTTTTTTATTTGTACGAAATGCATTTCAGGATTTCCGAAATTATTCGTATACTCTGCCCTGCATCAAGGGAATGTATATACATATGGAAGATAGACAGACAACGGTAATGATACCACGCAATCGTCAAGATGACGTTATTAAAGCAATAAAAAATGCCAGCGATCATATATTGGCGTTTGGTGGAAATTTTTCAAAAACTGCGGATGGGCATTTGGTATGCATGCAAAATGTGAATGATATGGGTACTGAAATGTATGCATATTCAACACAAGCTATCAACATACAAGGAAAACCGCGCAGAGGTGAGGTTAAGGTTTTATATGAGAACAATTTCGGGCTTTTTCGTGAACTTGTTAAACTATATTTATGTATGTTGTAGCTGCCTTCTTACAATTTCATAGAAACAAACAGATTTTTAATTTATTTTGGTAGTTAGTTAAAACAAACTATGAAAATGTATTTAGTAAATCATGTCGACTTCAATTCTCATCAATTTCAGTACATGACCGGCAGCTTTTAATTCGTTGATTACAGATCTTATCATCCTCAGAAAATTGCTGATAGCTTTTAGTCTCATATGACACTAACTTAAAAGTAAATAAACTATAATTTGTATTTTATTTTTTAAGTTACTGCCGCGAGTTTCTTTGTATTGAATGAGTCTTTGAAAAGCACGAGCGGGCTTTCTGGAAAATGTAGCATCGTTGAAGATGGTTTGATGGTACAAGTATTGCCAAGTAAAATGGAGGAAATACGTAATTCGCTGCAAAATCAAAAAGATGTTGAAATAATATGCGGTCCGGTGGATGCCAACGATCAACAAACTGAGGTTGTGAGCATAAAATGGGTGGATAATGATCGCGACTTTAATGTTGGGTAAATTTTTTGAGTTTGATTTACCAAAAAGAAAAACAAATTTCATATTTATCTACACATTTCTAAATTACAGCGTGAAATCACCTATCGATGAAAAATCTATGGATGGTATATGCAGTATGCGCGTACATGATAGTTTTAACTATTCGAATGCTAATTACGCTATACGGCTCACAGACATTTATATACTTAAGGTGAGTGCTACACTTCTTTTTTTTACCAGCTTAGCATAATCGAAATGACGTTTCCCTTATTCTTCAACAGTATGACGAGTGGTATGCCTCTGCACAGTCTGCTGTAGCAGCCACTTCTATGGATATCACGCGCATGGCGGGACAAATTGCGCGTAGTGCTTGCGTTGCACTGGTACCCTTTCTTGATTTATTCGTCGCAAGTGGCAGTCGGAAGCTAGCTTTACGTGCAACAATTCATCAAGAAAATGTATGTGCACTGTACGTAATAAAACACATAAATATAAATTACATATTTGCTTATCTGCAGGTCTGCTATGAAGCTGGCACACGTGGCAATAAACTTCCTCCGCTTTATATGAATGCTTTGGATGATCAACTCATACCGACACTTCATGGCGAGTCGTCCGGCATTGAGGATGCAATAATTTTAGAGTTAGTTTTTTACATTTTAAATGTTTAGTCTATTCTAATGGGGGAAAGTTGGTAAGTAAGTCAGTATTTCAAAGTTTGAAATTTGAAATTCAAACCGTTAAGCAGCGTATTACTATGACTTTTCTATAGCATTAATGTAGAGTTCGGGCGAGTGAAAAATGAAATAACAAAAAAAAAAGCGATTTGGATAAGAGGTTAAGTTGGCTCACAATCACATGTGTAGCTACAATCAAATCGTGTCGTTGGGAAAGCAAAATGGCAACTAAATAAATATTACGTAATATTGGCAATAAAACCAGACAGGAGAGGCAACAGCCTCTGTAGTTATCAAATAATAGCGCTCAATTAGAAAAGTCGACTTTGCATTGAGTGTAGTGTAGTAAATATATTTTATTTTCTCTTGAAATAAGGCTGCTTTGAAAGCTTCTTTTATGAATATACGAAAGTCATACATATATGCGTACATACCTACATACATGTATGGGTAGTTAAGCTGGTTATAGATCTATTGTATGCTACTTGTTTTAGTGTAAAGATTTAAATATCTATGTAACTAAACCGATTTACAATTGAAAAATTGTATTCGACTTTTATTTATCACTATCCAAATTCAATTTGACTATATTCTTTTTTGTTTTGAGAAATAAAGTACCTATCTATTAGCAATTCTATATACAAATTATGGTAACACAAAAAAATTGCATATCGTCGATGTTTATGCAAAACCGCCTAAATCGTGTAAAGGAAATTTGGTAACCCTGAACTCCAGTTACCAAGATTTATGCATAAAAATCGTAGAATCGTTATCAAAACAACAGATTTGTAAAGCAATGCCTACAAAGAAATCCCGTTTTCTCGCTCCCCTCGTAAAATTTGAGGGCGTAAGATAGGCGATTTTGAATAGGGCGATGGGCGGTTTTACAAAAACATCGACGGTATATGTATTTCTTGAATACAACGCGTTCATAACACTCCGACTGCATTTTTCCAACATAAGAGTCATGGAATATTTTTGAATGGAGCATTATACTCTCTGAAAAAATGTCATTGTACATATATAGGAAAAGGATGGTAGTATCGAAGAAAAGTGTTTCGACTTAAAAACTTTTTCAGAGTCATGAAAGCTCTAGCTGTTGCAAGGTGTTGTGTTTGGAGTACAAAGGCGCAAAAAAATTCAGAAGTGGAATTCTAACTCTGGCTGTCCCTAAAAGCATGACTACTTTTAAATGTTCTCCGCAAATTTAATGGATACAGAGTTTAAAATGGCCAGAAGCATTTAAGAAGAGTTTTCAATTGTTCTTAGAGGACCAGGCGGCATTGTACCTAACCAGTTGCAAAACTCTTTGGAGGCTTCGAAGCCGGCTCCAATCTTCACTAGTTGCGCTGTGCGAGGGCAGGGAGTGGCGCTTGTTCCGAAGACTGGCGAAAGCCCCCCAGGGTTTTCAGGATATCTTCGAGATTGCTTAAAACCCTCCGACTTAACGGAACGTAGAACTTAGAGAATCAAAATGAAACAGATTTCGACGTGGCATTAAGTTACGTTAAGTTGCCATAATCAGACCATAATTCCTAGTATGTCAGAACTCTTTCCATTCAGTAGCATATATCTACGTATGTATAAGATTCGCGTTCGCTTAGCACTTTCTGACAGTCTTAAGGCTGAGCTTGATTCTATGTGTATGAAAAGTAGTAGTGAAAGCCAAGCATTGAGAAAATAGTGGAGAAAACATCAGGTGCCCTCTACCGCTGCAGGGATAATATTACCAATTTCTCTCTCCGGGCCTCTCGTAGCGCGGGTTCCCTCTTTGGAATTACTGAGTACTGAGGGTGTCTCCTACATTGGAAATTAGTGTTTTCTTTAACATTAATTCGATCGACATCATAGGTCAGGCGGCTGCAGCAGGCGCTGAGGTTAGACTTGAGGCTTTGGGTGCTCAAATGACCAAAGTATTCGAAAAAGAAAAATATCGCCTTGTTACCACTACGTTTGGTCGCAAATGGCTTGGATAAGCCGTGTAGGTTTTTCGCGAATACCAAATTTAGACATATCGTTGTTGTTGTTGTAGCAGCATACAAATTCCCCAAAAACTTTTTGGGGAGTGTTGCTGGAGTGACAGTCCTTGGCCAGATATAAATCTGGGTCGTTCCGGTTACGTAGACCCGACTGTCGTGGGAACGTTTAGACATATCGTCGTAGAGGCAGCTTGCTCCCCAGAGATGATATGCATAGCGTGGAAGTTTTCAAAAGAAACATGAAGTTGGTACATACGACAAGGCTACCTGGAGTACCTCCATTATGGCACACCACAGTGGTAGACTCCTGATGGCATTGGAGCAGGCGTATTTTGCCCCAGACGGAAGCTTTCGTTCCTCCTAGGTGTCTTTCCAAGCATCTTCCAAGCAGAAATCTATGACAAAAGTCTGTATGTTAAGACCAACCTTTGCAGGAATTATCGTAGTGAGAGGTTCCTCATTTTAACTGATAGTCGTGCGTCTCTTAAAGTTCCCTCATCCCATCAGGTCAAATCCTGTGTAGATAAGCTTATTGCTCTGGCTTAGAATAATGCTATCCAATTGCTATGGGCACCAGGGCACATGCGAGTCGAAGGAAATAAGGAAGCGATTCTGGTAGTCAGAAATGCTGCTGTCTCGACCCTGATAGACCTGAGATCTTCCTTACAGTAGGTTCCAACATGACAAAAAAAGCTCTCATAAAGAAAAATACCAAACGTAGGGCACGGCAATGGCGTACAACATGCCATCTAATTCTGGCATTAATTCTGAAATTTACCTGGGGCTAGCTGTCATGAGTTGTGGGCACGATAGATATACTGTTAGCCGGCTATCTATGTATACACATATCTACCTCGTGTTTCTCGAGGGTCTAAAATCGCTCTTGTTGAACACTTTATTTGTTTCGCCATTTAAAAGCATTGAAAAGTGCTTTTCCCATATGTTCAGTGTCATCTCGGCGTCTGTTACTAGATTCCTATCTTCATTTCTGGACGATAGCAAGCAGCAACCTCTTTCGCAGCTTTGCGAAGATATTGGGCGATGAAGACTTGCTTTTTTACCTAAGTAGAATTGATAGTCGATATCGAAATTTCTCGTCCGTAATGAGGTAGCAATTCTCGACGGACCTAGAACTTCTTTTTGATCTCAGCATCCACGGCTTTAGTAGTGAGGAAACCTCTTTGATTTCCACAAAACCGATATTCTCTCGACAGTTGGTTCTATATACAGCTTCCACGACCGAGGGCTGAATGTAACTTGGTGCAGATCGGCGAAACTTTCAAACGCTTCAAAATTATCATTGCTGCGGATGTAATTCCGGGTTCTTCGAACGCGGGAACTCTGCTTATGACTAAGAATCCCTTTGTCTATCCGGTTTTTACAACTACTTTACTTTTCTCCTTAGCTCGACTGAGTGTTTCAAACACTCATAGGGTGTATCGAGAAGGGGGGAGTGAGTCAAATGTCCGAAATGGTGAGAAATCTTGTGGATTAAGGGTTTTAACAGAAACAAGTAATAATAAAAAAGCGTTTAAGACAAGCTTTTCTAAGTGATAAGTAAAAAAGAAGAAAAATCGACCCCCGTCCCACCTGACGACTAAATTTTTTATGAAGGTATTTCTATCCGTTTAGGTAATCATGCCTATTACGGTATCCGACGGATCTAATCCGATTCGCCCTGTTTTAACAGGAGAGTGCAGGATTAGATTCGCGTATCCCAGTGATGCCATTCGCACATAATCCTTTTTACTAGCTTGTTATGACAACGAGAATCGGACTAGACCGGTTCGGATGGCATCCGTCGGATACTGCAACAGGTATGAATATATGTTGTAAATATGAGACAAATTGGACCATAAATACGAGTTTTCCAAATATCTCGACTCCTGCGGCACCTATCGGGAAATATTTTTTGTGTGGAGTTATTTCCATTCATGTAGGTAATACACATTCCAAATATTTGCCATATCGGACCATAAATACGGGGTTTTCAAATATATCGTCACCGGGGCCACCAAGCCGATTAATTAATTTATAAAAAAAAAAACTAAACGATTTATGACAAAATATTATGTCAGATGACGGTTAGTTTTATATGAAAAAATGCGCTATAAATTGAGATAAAAGAAGTAAACTTTATTACCAAATAAAAGCTATTCTGTCGATGACTGATTCCCCACGCCATTATCTTTGTAAAGGAACTCTTTTTTTTTGTAAACTCACTTTATTTCTCTCTTTATTGTATCTAATACAATACTTGCTATAAAAAATTGCTTACATTATACATACAACTAAATTACCGTCACAAGCATTTTCGTACATAAGTATGTATGTATGTACAATAAAAAGTACAATTTAACAATATATTTAAGTTTGCATACATGCGAGAGAATATCAAAAAAATAAAAAAAAAAATAGAAACGTAAATACACAAATTTATTAAATTAAAATGCTAAGGCCTTCTTGACTATGAACAGCGAATGATAAAAAAAAATGAAACATTCTGGCTGCATTTCTTTATTCATTCTGAACGTTTGGAATAAACTTTTTTGTTTACTTATTCTTTAGAACGTTCCTGATGATATGTTAACGTATATTTCAAACGCATTCTGTTTATTCCGGCTGTGAAATGGGATTATCCGGAATGTATAAAGAAACGCAGCCTCTTTATGTAGTAGGGCTGGGAGTTATGTCCGGATAATTCTAATCGGATAAGAACCGCATATTCGGAAAACAAAATTAACGGATATTAACCGCATAACCAAATAGAATGAATATTTACCCGATAACCGGATTTTATCTGTTTAAATGAATGTCGGAGTATACGGGTATCCGAATACACGGATAGTCGCAGCCCTAGTATGTTGCTAAATAGAAGTTCACACTCATTGCATTCAACAACAATTTTTCTGTCATACGAGTAATTGAGTGAGGATGAAAAAACGGATTGTTAAACAAAACATGGTGCAGAGAAAACTGTTACAAAATTTAAAAATTTACAAAATTTCGCACTTTTTTCATTTAATAGTTTTAATCATTCGTCTTCTTTTGATACACAATTTATGCATGCAAAAATACGAGGCAACTCTGTCTTCATTTGCCTACAAATTATTGATTTTTTTTTTTTGACAAAATTCAAATAATGAATTCACATATCTATGTATATATGTATGTATAGTGTACATGTGTGACTTTGTGTGTTTGTGTGTGTGTGTTTGTATTTTTGCGATTGTATGAGTGTGCGTTGAAGTGAGATTGGCTCGCTTCAGCTACCCCTTTAGCATAACTATTCTTATTGCAATTTGGCAGCTCTGCCAACACCCTCTCAGCCGCCTTTGACTTAGAGTTCGTCGTGCTTGGGACCGGAGAACTCGTCGTGCGAGATGAAACCGTTCTTATCTTTGTCCTCGTGTTGGAAGATCTCCTCGACAAGTTTGTCGTTCTCCTTGAGCATATTCTTTAATTCCTCGGAGTCTTGACCCTCGACGGCAGTCATTTGTTTTTTAAGGTATTCGCTGACCTGCAAGAGTGGAAAGAAAGGGACATTAATTTTATGATTTTTTGCATTCATAAGCAATTTGTGCAAAACAAGTAACAATGTTAGGTAAAACATGCAAATTGGGGAAATTTGTTAGGGGCTAAAGACAAATGCCCAGGAAATAGATGATTTTTTCTATAAAAAAAAGAGATTAAATATAAATAATATGCATTACATATGTATGTACATATGTACATGAATATACAGTGGAGGCCACATACTTGGTGAATCTACTTCTTTACAAGTTTTTACCATTTATTTTTTTTTACAAAAATATAGCTCATTCCACAACGAAAACATTGTAACTCAAAATTTCAAACATTGTGCCAGATTTATAAAAATTTGCAAAATTTCAAAAAATCGTTACCGAAGTTCAAACATTTTAACTATGTTACTAGAAAAAATTTTAACCGGCTAAGAATGCACGTTTACTTGAGATTTCTGTTTTTGCTGACGGTGCAGTGTTTCGACTATATGGAGGCAGGTAGAAAAAAGTCATGGTGACAGTTGATAAAAAAAACCTGTTGGACTTAGAGAGGGAAAAGTAAAAGTCATAAATACCAAATTTTACATTATTTACTCACCCCCCTTCTTCACGAACGATACATTTCCAAAAAAATACGGGAATGGATGCGATACCGACTAATCCGTTTAGTTGCCTTTGGCGATTAACCCATTAAAGAAAGTATTTCTTTTTCAACTGTAATCAATTACTTAAATGTCGTGGAATATTCAGGTGAAGGTATTTATCATTTATTTGGTACTTTCCTATTTTTTGACCAAAAAAATGACTTTGTAATGTAGATGCTAAAGATTATTAGTAAAAAAAAGTGTGAGTACCGGTCCGTCAGGTCTTGAAATTAGACGAATGTTTTAGAGAATTTTATGCAGTTTTCGAATATATAATTTGATCTTTGCGCGCGACTTTGCAAATATATATAATTTTTAATTTTCTTAATTTTTGATTTTCAGCTTATTTTTGCAAAATTTCGCGAAAAGCATTTTTCGAAGAATGAAAAAATTCTCACCAAATATTGGGGAAAAAGCGAGTATTTACACCTAAGTCATTTTATAGTATAACCTTTCTTTTCTGAGAGTGGAAAGCAGTAAACAAAAATTAACCAAAATTCCATCACATTTAATGACTGGGCCCACATTTTTTGTGAGTTTTCGACGTTATACTGATCCAATCTTGTCCATATTTTATATTTAGGTTTTTCTAATAAAATATAGTTTAAAAACTAAATTTCATCGAAATTGGATGAAATTTAATGTTTCCGCCCACAAGAGTAGAGGGAGTGGCAATTATTCCATCTGTACAAAATTTCATAATTCCATATTTCTAAGTAAAACTAGAGCACATGTCAAGTTTCAGTGAAATCGGTGCAGGTGTACAATTATTTCCACCTGCCTCCATTGCTCATTTTCTCCCATATAAAAAAATTTAGAAAATGTGGAAAGTTCTCAAAAATCCATGCAAATTATTAGCCGCTTGAAACTTAAATTATACTTAAATTGAATAAATTGAAATTCTCATTATAAAGTTTAAAATTTTGATGATTATTTTTTTGAAATTTGATGAAGTTTTGTAAACCTGTTACGAGGTTTAAGACTTTGGCTTACATAGTTTTCGTTGTGGTATAAACTAAATGCTTCATTTCATGTTTGTGAAAAAGTAAATAAAGAAAAAATAAATGGTCAAAACTTTTAAAGAAGTAGTGATCATAATTATTTGGCCACCACTGTTGTATCGCTAGCTTAGAGTAAAAAATTACTAAAACCTCCTTTTCATGAAAGTATACATAAAGATGTAGGAAACAAGAAATATTAAAAATGTATCGTTTCAATTGTTTGAATAGTATTTTTTTTATGTGCAACCGAAGCACGGGGGCAGACAAATCCAAGTCAACGGCTAATGAGCGACACCGAGAGAAAAGGAGGCGAACCGATGTGAATACATAGGACTTAAGAGGAAAATCTGGTAAGTGAGATCAGGAGTAGAGATGGGAACGGGACTAAATATTTAATACCGAACCTGCCCAACCCGAAACTAAATTTTAAAGTCCCGAGCCCGCCCATCCCGATGGTTTTCAGAATTGTACCGCGGATTCCGCGGGTCCCGAAATCTATCACTAAGAAAAATGCCCATGTTTCAAATTAATTAAAAAAAAAAAAAATAATGAGAGATCTGGCATCTTCCGATTACTTTGCGTTGTTGTTCCTTATCGTCTCAATAAAACATAAAAACTGCATATTTCATACATCGTTTTTAAGGAAGATTTTCTGAGTTTGCAGTTTTATCGGCAGTGTCGGGAAAGGATTTTGGTCCCGTCCCGCCCGCCAAACTTTTAGAGGCCTTCCCGATACCGCCCATCCTGGCCAATTTAAAATCAGTACCGTGGTCCAAGGTATAATTTAACCTGCTGATGTTTTTTAATATTAAATTAATCGGTTTTGTTTAATTATGTCCAAATATTTTTTTTTAAAAACATCTATTCTTTTGAAGGCTACAGTTTTTTGGTCGAATGTGAAGTTTTATTTCCGGGAAAAACATCTGGCATCACTGGTGGTAATACCCGTGGCGCTTTTGATGATTGTATTGGGACGATGCTAACGTTCTCCCACTCGACCGAGACGAAAGGAGAACAGCAATGGTGCAGTTTGAATAAAAATATGACCCCGGAGTCGAAGGCGGGTTCGAAGATACATATTTTAAGAGCAATTTGGTCTCTTAAATATATGCCCGAAGGTTAGAATCTTATTTTAGTTTGCGCTATCCACAAGAAGAAACGAAACTTAATATTGCATATAAGGTCCTATCGACGATAAGGTGTGAATGTTTGAATCCGCTCATAAACCAACTTAGCGGACTTAGAGGCAATGCGCTGAAGAAAAATCTAGGAAGGCAACCTAAACGTGTGCAAGTCCGCCTTAAGAAAAAATGAGGACTTAAATCAAGGATGGTGCACTGAGGTGGTCTGCCCAATTTAGTTCTATGGAGTCACAGTTTTGATGGACTATTCAAAGATGTCCTGTGATAAGGGAAAAGTTTATCAACGTGCTGAAAGTGGCGTGCTACTTATTAGTGGATCGATGCGCTTTGCAACAACTAAACCATTTGAATCCGTAGACCTTTACAATTAACTACGGGCGGGCAAAGGCGAGATCTGGAAAATCTTGCGACACCAGGTTCGGTAAGGTAAGGTCAGGTAAGTGCGAAGCAAAGTGCCATAAATACCTGGTGTGACAAAAAAAAAGAAGAACTGAAGAACAAAATTGTGGCCTGGTTCGATACATACAATGCCTGGGCTGCATAACGAAATGCCTCGGGCGCATTTTTACCTAGAATTCCCACTGCTTAGGCTGGCTGTGACAATCTTGACTGGTCATGGCTTAATAGTGATACAAGCCGGCAGAATTGGCATTGCTGCGAGACGACAGCAAATCAAGAGCTTTGAACACTTTTCCTGTTACTGCACAGCCTTTACTAAACTGATACGATGCTTTTTTCACGTATTTCACAGTTAAGCCTGCCGAATATCTGCAAAGTCTATGTAATTAGTCATATTTCTAGCTGTACAATTGGCATCAACTACGATACAAAAATCGAAAGCAAAAAATCGAAATACTTTCTTAGCATAAGTTTAATAGGGCTATTCGCGATTCGGTGCATAAGAGCTGACAAATTTATACAATTGCAGAAATATGCCATGGATTGTGAGCGACCTTTATTAAACTATCATGGTAAAACTTTTTTAATCAGTTGATAGAAATGTCAACCAGAGTTGCAATGCATAGCACTTTCATGCTATGGATTTTCGGTATTGCAAATTTGTCAAGCCATGACAAATGCAAATGCGTGTATTTTGTTTGTGTATTGTAAATAATTTGCAATACAAATTTGCAATGCAATGATGCTAGGCCATTTGCACCGGATCGCGAATAGCCCTAATGATTTTTGGCGTGCTTTTATTTACTGACATTAGGCTGGAACGAACTGAGATCTGAGTACTCGAAAGGAGTACCTGAGGCAATGAACTTTGGAAAAAAGTTGCCTACTCGAGACAAGAACATAGATATATCTTGCTTTATGATCCGACTGTAAATACCGAAGATATAACGAAAAATATTAAAGGGCGATCCCTACGTTCGGCCAAACATGAGGGGGGTGTTCGGGGTGAATTGTTTTTCCGGTATGGTCAACTTTTGCATCGGCCTCTATGAAATACCGACATCTTCTTACTGTACAAGGAATCGTGTGGCGTATTTGTTACATATCGACTGCTGAGTGAAGATCGACCTATCTCGGCAGCCAATTCTAAAACGCCCTATCTCAAAATTTGGTTGAAGAACGCCATATTTTAGAATTCGTTTCGAAAACGCCCTATCTCAGCTGCCGATTCAAAAATGCCCTATATCAGCACATTTTCGAACGCCCTATATCACTACAAAAGTGGCATGTTAATCTGCTTGTTTTGGTACTAAAACTTTAAGATTTTAACTGAAGGTGTACGGGGGTGGTCCCAGAAGTACCCGATCTAACAAAGAAAACACAAAAATTTTGGTGGAAAAATATATTTATTTTTCAACATAATCTCCATTCAGCTCTATACACTTTTCCCAGCGATGGTCAATGAGTTCGAAACCCTTTTTATAATAAGAACTGTCTTGCTCCTCAAAATAGCCATCATTTCATAGACATCATTTCTTCATCGTTAGAAAATCTTTGACCACGGAGCCATTTTTTGAAGTTGGATCTTCGGATAATGTTGTCATTTGTCCATTTTAACAAATTCATTGAAAACGTTCACTACTGACGGCTGCCAAGCATATACTAAACAACGTGGCGTCTTCAAACTTGACACATATACTTTATAGATTGTGTACTTTTTAGCACAGTGATATTTTTCAAACAACTACCGCCATCTCTAGGTTAGGCCGGGTAATTTTGGGACCACCCCCATGTTTCAATGTATCCTACCAAAATCTGTGAAAAACGCAGTGTCGCAAAAAGTGTTGATTAGGGCTAGGGACCGCAAATAACAGTTATATTTTTTTTTTTAAGTCACCTTGGCCAAATGTTTGCTATCAAATGAAAGAGGACGGAAGTAGCTTTTAAACAGAAATAGCGAACGAAGGTTACCACCTCTATTTCAATATATTTTTTTATAATTTAATACAAAAGAAATTTATATACCTGACCTCTTCTTTGGTAATTAGATAACATTTCTTATTGAAATACTTTCCAATAGGTGGCTTTCCTCGTTTAGACATTTCAGGTTTAAAGCTATTTAAGTCCTCTGTTAGTTTCGGTCCCTGGTTAGGGCATATGTGAATTAAGGTAACGATATGTCATATTACTTCTCAAACTCTTCGCCTTCTTCAAAGAATCTGTGTACAATAACTTCGCTTTTTGTCTAAATTAAGTAGCCAAACATTAGACCACTTTCCTGAATGTTCTAAACCTCATCTCAATTTTTTAGAAAAGTTGACGAATTATTATAAATATTGGTATATGTACATACAACTAAAACCTTTAAATTAAGGGAGAAATTTATAAAAACACATGCAACAAATCATCAACACCACCATCACCAGTTCCAATAGAGCGTTTAAATAACGTCTTATAACGTAAGTAATTACGTGGTGAAGAAAGTGCGATCCATACATAAACGTTTACCTCATCACGGCTCAGTTGTTTGTCGGCGTTCTCATCGATTTCCTTGAAAACATTGGTTGGTGGTGGCGTATTTCCAATATTGATCAATTCAACGTCGAAGAGAAGTGTAGCCTTTGGTGGAATAACATTGCCAGCACCACGATCACCATAACCCAACTCGGGTGGGATGACCAATTTACGTTTTTCACCTTAAAAAAGAAGAAGACAAAAAAACAAATTTAGGAACAGATTCGAGGGGAGAACATTTTAAGTATGTGCGTACAGTGTGTGTTTATAAACAAATTAAGTTGACTACTTACCGACACACATGTCCAATAAGCCTTGATCCCAGCCCTTTATCACTTGGCCAGCACCAATTTGGAATGTGAAGGGTTGATCGCGATCGAAGCTGTAATGAAAAAGATACTTAAATGGCTTAGATTTTGTGATTTTAGAAGCGGTAATTGTTTCTAGCTACTGTTACTTTAAAGCAAATAAAATAAGTATTCGAAAAATTTTATAAGCGTATTTTATGTTTCCATAGCACCTTAAAGGAAATTTTTGCATTAATATGGATTTCCGGTGCTACAACCCATGAAGCAATTCATCATCAGGTATATCATGAAATTTATGATGTGTGAGAAAAATGAAATACCCAAATTATGTATGTACATATGTTCGTACATTTGTTTGGCTCTTTCCACATGTGTTTTAAGAAAATGACAAAACGCCTCCAACAGGCAACATCTTTAAGAAGTCGGCTACGCGAATAGCGCAGCGTGGATAACCAACTGGCAACAAACCCAGGCCGCAATAGTAAAAACGCGTCACGGCGAAATAAAACAGCTATTTTTTGCCAAGTTAGCGACACCAACAGCGGTTTTGTGTATTATCAGCGAAGGTGCATATTTGATAATAATTGAGTGCGATACACTCTATCAAACGACAATATAAACAGGATAACAGCAATGCAGCAAAGGAAAAAAATCGTAGCTACACACAAACACACCTACCTATAGCCAAGGTTTGGCGCTAATAAAAAATTTAAGAGCAATGCGCGACAGGGAACAACTCGAAACCATCGTTCAAAATAGCAGTCAGCCAACAAGAGTCATCAAAGTGGTCCGGAGTGAGGCAATCGTGTGTCTTCTCAAGGAGGTTGGCCTGTTGTTTGTTGTTGTTGTTGCCTGTTTCGCAGTTATAGCTTCTTAAGAATTTATGGAAAACAAACGCCATTGCGGTGCCCCAGCAGCTGAGTAAATACATACATAAATAAATATGGCGAATAGAAGATGCTAGCTGCTGGTGGGTGTGTGAAGAGCTTAAATTGACATAATTTTCAGTTTTTAGCGGAAAAATTGCGAATTAAGCGCGATATGTTTGCCCGGGAGCGATTTAAAAGATTTCAATGATTAACTGAAACATCCTACATCCCCAACAGTATAGTTACCATCTTCCCCATACTGATGTGAATAATAAAAAATATACAATTTCCTTGGAGGACACTTGGAGATGATAAAAGAGGCGACATTTTTTTCTATCGCCAATTAGAAAATGACATGCTGCATCGCACATGTACATATGTATTTATGTAGTTTATAAAAAAATTATGCAAATTTAAAAAAACATGTAAGACAACAAAAAAGCACACAGCAATAAAACTTCTAAAAACAACAATTTGTAGCTTGCTGCATGTTGGCAATGTTGTGCAAACTCTTGTTCCTTTTTTATTGCAACTGTGACAAGCAGCAAAGTTGAAAAAAACTTTATTTTGACAAATTAAAACTAAACCGGCGGGAATGCACGTAAACAACAACAATGGAGAAAGTAAGTAAATAAAAAATTATCATTCAAGAGTGTATTGCTTAAAAGCAGTAGAGGGTACTTATTTAACGGGAGCGGTACTAAGAGATAACTGCGTAAACTGTCAATAATAGGTGGAACTAAGAAGAGCACTTTAAATGGAAATAAATACATTTACACACAAACAGGACAAAATTTTAGTTCGAAGTCATGAGCATACTAGGATAAGCCTTAGGCAGTGGCGTTATTTTTGTGACCCCAACTGTCTCTGTGTAGACGCTGTTTGTCTCTTGCCTCGCAGTGAGTCAGCTTCTGTTGGCACTTACTTGCGAGGAGTTGTTGAGCTTGGCTTTCTACCGTTTGAAGTGCTGCTGGTTTGGGGCTATATGCTGGTGCTGACTGCCGGACCACTGCTTCGTCTAGCTGCCTTCAGATCTTCGTACTGAGCTTTGTTGCGGTGCGAGCTAGCTGATTAATCCTACGAAATTGCTTTTTATGAACTTTCGTGTCTTTATTTCATCTAGCCTTCAATGGTTTTTATTATTTTAAATACAACCAGAATTAAACCAATTACGTAACCGGTCGGCTCAAAAACCCCTTTTTGGAATAGTAGTTTTAAAATGGCAGCACTGTAGTTCTAAATAAATGACAATCTTTGAGAAACTCATTGTCAGCCAATAGCGGCAATCATGAAGGGAGACGTTTTAACTATTTTTTATTTAAATGAATACATATTCCAGCTATTGTCATAAATTAATTAAATACATACTAAAGGAAGTTTTGCTTCATTTGTTTATTCAAAATAAAATTTAAGCATTTAGGCAAAAATATTTGTACCATCAAGCGCCCTCAAAGTTTCGCCGAATCATCTTTGCTGCATCACTGGGGACAGCTAAGTCGAATATGATTATCACGTGATGTCCAGAGGCGCTGTGTGACTATCACCGTTACGCTACTAGAGTGCTATGTACCTACATACATACGTCTGTACTTGAACCTCTAGCCGCAACGTGACTGCGACAGCTACTTGCGACACTTCCCGCAGCTAAAGTACGCTCAATTTTTCGCTTGCTTGCTGTTCTTGTTGTTATGTTCGCCCTTGTTGCAGAAGAGATCTTAAATATTTTATTTAGCTCTCTTGGGCTTTGTAACAATTCAAAAATATTGTATTTGAATTTTGCATAGAACTTGGTGGCACAATTGTGTGTGCTTTTTTTTTTATTGTGCCTGTGTTTGGACTCGCAGTTGTGTGTGCGTGTGCAGCGCGCCTGAGTGTATGCCTCCCACGGTGATGCAGCTTTAACGTCAAGTGGCACATTATCCACTAAAATGCCGCGAAATTGTGGCAAAGGAGTGTCGCAATGATCCTTCGTGTAGTAAGGAGGGAAAAGGCTCTAAAGGCAGGGCGACTTTTTTCTTGTTTGCTTGCAAATCTCTCGATGGAAAACAAGAAAATAACACAAAGTACGAGCTTACAGCTACAATTTCACCTTTGTTTGACGTTTTGCTTATTTGAGTGTTTTGCTTTTTAAACAACTCTAAAAACAAGTGGATTTTGCAATGTAAAAAGGAGTTGGAGGTGTCTGGATCACCGTGTGAATTTTTATTGCATGATTCGCTGTGAATTGCATGTACATAAAGTACTATGTATGTATGTACGTAGGTATATATGTGTGCACATATGTATGGATATGTGTAGTATTTTTTGTTATGGCAGCAGTGAAACGAATCGTTCGCTTATTTTAAGTCATAGCGTAAAATTTATGTTTCACAAGGAAGTGTATCATCAGCGAAGCGTCTTCGCATATTTGTGGTGTATCTGTCTGCTATTCTTGTGTGATTCTCGCGCGTGGTATATGTGTAAGCGTAAGTAGATGGTACCTACTTTATTTTTACTGCAAATTCAAATATGTTTACAAATACAAACAAGTGTTTCACTTGCTGCCCTCTCTACCTTTCTACTCAATATCATCAGCCGGGGTTAGATGCCGACTTTAAAGCCTCCACTGATCCCCATAGATTTATGGTTCACGCAACGATAATTGTTATTTTCGCGACGTGATGTTAGCACTTGAATAAAATGTCAATTGATAGGTGTGAATCAACGCAGTAATGCCAACGCTTTGAGGGAAGGCTTGCAGTTTACATAAATAAAATTCAGAAGTGGAAACAAATTTGCATTAAATATAGCCATTTAGTTTATCAAATGATAGGTGTGACCAGTAAATAAGTGGGAAAGAGAGGATGAAAAACGTTAAAAAAAAAAACATTTTAGTACATGCATATATATACAAAGCTACACTTACATATATATACATATGTACATACAGTACGAACAAAAGTATTGACACAGAGAGTTTTTGGAAACATGTATGTACTGTGACTCAAACAAACGACCACGTGTTGATTTTTTTTTAATATTCGTGGTGTTTTTCGAGCTACATTTTTTTGTTATTTTTCTATAAAAAGACCGTCCAAGATTTAACCAAAAACTTATACCACAGTTTCAAACTTTATACAAAATTTAGGAAAATTCAGCAAATTTTCATCAAAATTTCAGCTTTTCTGATTCGTAAGAATATTTTTGGGTGCAGAATTTTAGAGCCCATACAATTTTACTCTAATGAAGTGCCAGTTTCAACCGACTTAAAAATCGCATTGATCGTTGGGATTTTTTTTTAGACTGCTTTTGCGTTTTTGTTTTATATAAGAAGAGCAATTAAAAAAAAACTGGCGTTGATCTTTGGAAATTTTGTTGCTAACGGTTTCTCGCATTTAATTTCATAAGATGTCCGTGCTGATATGGAAAACAGTGCAAAAATGCGTCTCAAAAAAACTCATAAAAAAAAAACAATCAACGGGATTTTTAAACCGGTTGAAACTTGCTTTTCATTGGACTAAAATTGTATGGGCTAAAAAACTGCATACCCAAAAATGTTCTAAAGAATCAGATTAAAAAGTTGAAATTTTTATGAAAATTTGTTAAATTTTCCAAAATTTTGTGTAAAGTATGAAACTGTGAGTGTGTTTTTGGTTAAAGCTTGGACGGTATTTTTATAGAAAAATAACAAAAAAAAACATACCTCAAAAAACACTACGAATATTTAAAAAAAATCAGCACGTGTTCATTTGTTTGAGTCACTGTATATGCAAAATTTTTTATTACGATTTCTTTTCGCTAAATTTTTATATAAATATAGTTCATACTACAACAAAAAACATAAATATAAAATGTATAAACTTTGTGCAAAACTCAGGAAAGTTCAATAAATTTGGATACTCAAGGTATTTTTATAGAAAAATAACAAAAAATATAGCTCAAAAAACATTACGAATATTAAAAAAATCAACACGTGGCCATTTGTTTGAATCACTGGATATGCAAAATTTTTTATTACAATTTCTTTTTGTTAATTTTTTATATAAATATATGTAGTTCATACTACAACGAAAAACCTAAATATAAAATGTATAAACTTTGTGCAAAACTCAGGAAAGTTCAATAAATTTGGATACTCATTTGCAACTTTCTAATTATATATTTTTTCACGCAGTTTCTTCCATAAAATTATGTCCAAAATTGTTTTTTGTATGGAAGAAAATAAT